AGATGATGGAAGTGGTCCTCATGTCAGATTACGTGAAGCAGACAAAAGTCGGCACCGGAACGTTCAGACAACAGATTGATGAGATTCGAAAAGGTTTGAGAATGAATTCGACCCTAATAATGGAATAATTATCCAACATATTCCTACGTATGTCGACGCCGAAGTGACGTATAAGGCCCTTGAGTATTGTGCTTGAAACGATCGGCAAACTGGAGAAGTTGCCGGGCGCTGTGGATGATGCTAAAGTTGCTGCAAACGAATTGATGAGTGTTTTGAGGGAGGAGGTTGAGACAGTTAAAAGTATGATTATAGAAATAACCCCAGTTGTCGATGACGTTGAAAGCCAGTTGGAGATCGCCATAAAGTCAATTGAAGATACGGTTCTCATTACGAAAGATAATGCTACACTATCTATATCCGAATTACGAGGAGACCTCACCCAAAAAGTCTCCTCCGTCTTCTCAACCATCACTGCCCAAGTTCACGTCCTCTTCGCGAAGCAGAAGCAGGCCGAGCTGGCGCAGCTGCAGACCGTCGTCACGGCGCAGTTGGAGGCGATTGGAAGGATTATTGCGGAGGATAAAGCAACAGGGGTGAAGGGATTCTTGGGGAAGATGAAGACATGTATTAACGGAATGCGTCACACTGATCTGCCGTATAGACTGGACGAAAAAATACAATTCCCCGCTTGTAATAAAAGTTCAAGATTTCTTCATACCATTGTTTGATTATATTATAACGCAAATCACGCCAACAAGCACGCAGGCGTCGTCTCAACCTCCCACTTCACTTCCTAGATCCCAGCCTCAGACTCCAGATCCCCACGTTACCAAAGTCACTGGCATTAAAAATAAGCTGGAGACATTACTTAGCAAGTTAACCACTTCACAGCATTTCGATGACACTTTTAAGCAAAATCTAGCCGCACTAGTAGAATCGGTGAAAGAGTTAAGAGCCACAGAGTTTGGCGAAGGAATCCATCCCAAGCTTCTCAACATAGTGAGAACAGCGATGACAGACTTCGACACAATTAGATTACGCATATGTCAGTAGGTATTCCTGTCAAACGATAAGATGGACTAGAGTCAGTAAACCTAATGAGTTCACCGATGATGCCAAGAAATGTGCGAAAGTTCTAATGAGCATAATTCAAACATTCCACCGTGATTTGTATGGACTGTTCTATGACATAGACGATAACGACGCCGCTGCAGATCAAATTAATGCACATGCTGCCTTTCTAGGCGATGCTCTGCAAGACTACGGTTACATATTAGCAACGGAATTTGAGAAGCAGGACGGTGAATTGTTCAATGACAGTAAGACTAACGGCGAAAAATTAAGACACTTCTCAGTGGGCTCACGAATAGCAAGAATGACAGCGTCCTTAATCATCTTAACAATTTCTCTCACTTTATATTACAAGGTTTCTCACCTTAGAACCACGTCGTCGTCAAGTGCTAAATACCCCCGCACAGTTAGAGACATGTTGGCGTGGCTTGGTGGTTTGCCGTATACCACCGTGTCGACAAAAATTAAGCAGCATTGTAAAGACTTAATTGATGATGACAAATATAATAATGATGACATCCTTAAAACCGTGCTTACGAATATAGACCTTCGCGTCACTGCAGCCCTGTAGAAATGCTTACGATGTCCTCACCGCAATATAGGGCCACGGTCACGGTTCGCAAACCGCTGACTACCCATATGCCTACAATTTACTAGACAATTATAAGAACTTCCATTATCCTTCGAAGGTTTCTGACTTATTAGATATGTTAATCCAAATATGTACACGTCTGCAGCGTTCACTCTACTTTTTGTATTCGCAATGTCAGAACACTTTAGGCGAAGGCAACGGCTGGCGTGATTGCTGGTACGGCGGGGGCATTGCACCATCAAACCATGTACCGACCACTCAACCGACAAAGCTACGTGTCAACCTAGGTGCCAGGCAAATGGCCAGCCAAATTGCAAACCAAACTGTCAACCAAAATCGCCTCTTCAGTCCTACCTAAACGATTGTCTTCCTGGTCACCTACCTCACAAATTATCTTCCATTGGTTGCAACTCTATTTGTTCGACATGTCCTACGACATCACCTGGACAGCAGTGCGTTACCCCGATGGCTTTTGGGATCTGACCGAGTCGGCGTCCCATACGAAGCAGGGGAGTCATATATCCAATGTATTAAAAGTAATATGTGGCAATGCATCGTCAATTTTGCCCACATTACTGAACTATCTAACGCACATATCGCCGATGCCACCAAAAACGTTGGCCGATCAATTTTCATTCTTTACGAATATCTTCAAACAGTGGTCATCTGGGAGGTATAGTGAACATTTCGGCCTAATAGGCCATATGAAATCGAGTGCAATTCCGACAACATCTATAAATCTTTATGCCTCCAAAGCGGGAGAACTTACCCAGCATTTCGAATCACTGTCTGGTCCGAGATATGACCACAAGAGTAACGTTTGGTGTAAGCCACTCGGATCTCTATAGCCTTTGTATGCAGGTCGCGATACATTCCGATGTCACATGCTCAGCCGAAAATATGTATTGCGCTCCATATGCAACCCCTATGCCACGACGCCAATCACACATATCCCAAGAAATTTGCAAAACTATATTTGTCGTGGCTCACTTATTTGGTCTTTGATTTCTACTTTGCTCAAATCGCTGCTCGATTCCTTCTGCGATATTGACTGTAAAGCTTGTGGATGCTCGAGATGTAAGTGCGCAGCAGGAATGCACGGTAAACCATTCCAGTGTACGTGCAAGAGTTTTGCGCACTGCCGTGGTGTACGTACTACACTCTACAAATATGGATTCACATTAGGAAACCCGAAAATATTGATTAAAAACCCAAATAGAAGATTTTGTCATACATTCTACGATCAATTTAGCAAGGTATTAAATTCCAAGTACTTCAAAACCTATTTGAAGCTTGTAATGATTTCGTATTCAGAATTCGTGAACCCTTCATCTGGACGCTCGTAGCCCTCTGGTCGCTGTCGCTCCTCTACCTGCTGCACATCGCCGTCGTCCGCCTCGACGTCCTGAGGATACGCTCCCCACCTGAGATCGCCCTCGCCACCGCATCGCCGCGCAGTCGCTTGCCGCCGCACGCGTCAAGGCACTCGCCAACGTCAAGTACTTCTCACCATAATCGTGCCTTCACCCACTCACTCACTCAACCAATCACCCACTCACCCACTCACTCACTCAACCACCCACCTACTCAACCACCCACCACTTCAACTAATTTCACCTAACGCTCCATACTTAACTACCGCCACTCACGCCAACTTCACCAATACTAACTATCGACTTCACTTCCATCATGATTCATTCGCTTACTCCTCTCTATCTTCATCATCTCCTTGTTTCGGTCCTCACCTAACTCATTTTTCTAATTTCTCCTCACTTAAAATTTCTTTGCTCTCTAATTATTTTCATCGTTCTTCGCCTCTTTCACTCTTCTACCTGTTCCACCTAATTTCCTTGCCTTGATCGAATTGCTCTTTTTTCCAATTTCTAACTGCTACAAAGTTTGGTAATTTTTCAATATTTTCTTTAATCTTATATATTTCTATTAGTTTCTATCACTTTTGTTTCTACTTGTTGCATTACGTTGTTGTCGCTCTCGATGTCCTGAGGATATTGGTGCTCCATTTGTGATCGTTCAGGCATCGTAGAATGCGTAGTTCTCGTTGCTGACGCCAAGGTAATTTGCCTCGCGCATTTCTTTCATAATTTTATAATCGTGCTCATTACTTCACTCTACTTCACGAATTCACTCAATTCACTCTATCACTAGCCTACTCAGTTTATTTGCTCAATCACAGCCAACTACTTCACTTCCATTTAATGCATTTCTTTACTTCCATTTCATCCAATTCACTCTACTTCACTTGGTATCCACTTCACTTACTTTCACTTACTAACTACTTCACTCTACTTCAATGCATCTATACATTTACTTCATTACCTACTACTGACCCACGACGATTTAACATACTTAAATAACATTTATTTTATTGGTCGCTTCTCCTTCATCACCTCATCCTGTCGGTCTCACCTAAATCCTCATTTTCCATATTTCCTTCTTCCTCCAAACCGCCTTATTCCATCGCCATCTTCTCCTCCATCGTTCTTTTCTCCCTTCACTTCCTCAGCCTGTCCACCCACCTCCCTCTGCTGCCTCTTGACCTAAAATCGCTTTCCCCAAATCTCTAATTGTCTTCTAATATGTGCCATTTTATCCCCCTTTACTTCCCTTAACTCTCCCTTAATACACCTTCAATCCAAGTATAAAGACCATTATAATGACGTTCATTACCTTACAGATGATGCCAGGGGAAGGGCCTTGAAGGATCTTGCTGAACGCCGTATCTCTCTTGGTAAGCTCGCTGGACAGCTTTCGGGATTTATTATGGTGGAGATGAAGATGCATTGTTGAATGGTTTGCACAGTAATGTAAATCAGCTTGAAAAGCTTTTAAAACATCTGCGGAGATAAGGGGTGTAATTGTAATATTATGAATTTCCGTGATGGACCTCTCAAAATCTTCAAAATAAATTTAATGAAGTTGATAAAATTGAAACAAAATTGATAGCCTTAAAAAGCAAAAAGATGAAAAAAGTGAGGCGTCCTTAGGGACGCCGTCCGACAGTGATGCTGAGATTAAGGAGCTTGAAAGGGAAATTGAGCAAGAAAAATTGAAGCTTGAAGAAAAAGAAAGAGATCGTGATGTGCAAATTACTGCGCTTCAAACTCAATTAAAAGAGCCTGAAAACAAAATTTTGACTGAGATTGACAGGCTTAATGAGAAAATTACTCCAAAGGAAAATTGATGAGCATAAAAGACAGAAAAGGATAAAAAATCCTGATAAAAAAGTTGAAGATATCTCCATTCCCTACAGTCTTTCTAGTCAGCTTGCAACTGAGCAGGCTAAATTGCAGTCTCATCAGGCTTCTTTGAAGTCTCTTCAAAGTCTTGAAAAGCTTATTACATTTCATCAGAATGTTCAATCTAAAAAAGGTGATGAATGTAAAGATATTTTAAGCAATCTGTGTACAGGTCTCCAAACATTTTAGGGTACGATGAAACTTCCAAAGGCTACACGATGGCTCCGGCATCGTCTACTCCGACCTTGACAGGCTGTGCGACGGGGTGATGTCTTTCCTTCGTGGTGTTTTACATAACATTCAGCCTAAATTAGGCTTATAGTAGTAAAATAAATAATGCAATTGAGTCTCTTAAGCTTCATAAACACTCTGGTAAAGATGGTTTTAATGCTGCGATTGGCGCAGTGGTGGAGGGGTGAGGCAGTATAATGAGGGTGTGAGGAGTCGAACAAAAGGTGAGTGATGTTATTAATACTTTGCAGGGACAAGTCGACGAAGGCTTCAAAATGCCGTAAGTTTTATTTTACGTGATAATGTTGTTTCAGGTAAGAAGGTAGAGCCTACTGAAAAAGACGTCACGGAGGCCGAAAGGCAGATTAATCTCAAGCTGGAAGAGTGCAAGAAATATGCTGAGACATTCATCACTAACTTAGACACTTCACGTAGCCCACATAAAGAATCAATTAACGACCTAAATGCTAATTTGCGTGATAAGCTTGAGAACGTGCGTAGGACTGTGCAGTATGAGAGTGCGCGGTTGGGGAGGGTGAAGGGGCAAGAGGAGAAGGTGTGGAAAGCAACGGAAGCGGAGATAAAGAAAGTGTTGGAAGAGCTTCAGACATGTGTCTGCAGTAAAATTGATACGCAGGTGAAATTGCTTGTTAACAAGTTGAAGAGGTTACCGAAATTTTGAAAAAGCTTAAGCAGATTAACACTACCATGCAATCATACGTTAAACATTTAGGAGAGTGGATTGAGAAGGCGGATGATGCAATTGACAAGGCTTTAGAAAAGGTCCGGAAAATATTGGAGGACATTGATGAAACTTCTTTCTATAAATATCCTTTCAAATCACCCAGGCAGCGCAACAGATTGAAGCATCAACCACCGTTCTTCATGGGAAATTTACAGAGTTGAAGGACATGAGGAGGTTTATACGAAGATTAAGGGGCGGATGGAACTGGACAAGGTGAACAAGGCGGCGCGGTAGGAAAGCTAAAGAGGTTAAAGGTAAAGCCACCGCAAACGTTTGATGGATTTGACAAGATGAATGGTGGCCTCTAAAATATTCGATTGTTTTCCTCACAACGCAAATTGAAAGCAATGTTAAGGGCTTTGTGGACGCATTTAAGGACGCATTGGTGGCGGGTATTAATAAGGCAGAGGTTAGTTATGGCAGTGGTGTGTCAGTTGTTAGTAGACAGACGCCTGCTATAGACGCCATGGTTGGTAAGCTGGGTCAGATGTTTAAGAATAAGCTTGGTCAGGACTTCAAAGGGAAGTTAGTACCGGACTCGAGGTGGCAAAGGAGACCCCGGCCTTGCCATCAATCTAGAAATTTATTAAAACATCTGAAAGATGGAAAGACACATTGGAATACCATTACACCCCAAAGTCCGCGAGGATATTCTGTCGGATCTCAAAAGTGACCTTGAGACATGCCATGCCACCATCAAAAGCAGCTGGGAGATCTCCTCAACGAGGCGGCCACTAATGGTGTGACAAATACGCAGAAGGCAGTCACTGAAATCGTTCGTGAAAATCTCGAGTCTATTCAAAAGTTAAATGGCGATATTGAAGGCACCGCAGAGTTGGAAAAGTTGCGCTGCAAACACATGCCCAGGATGTAATCAACAAACTCAAAGCTCTTGCAAAGGTATCAAGGAAGCTGCCGACACCGATCCTAACAGTGCCAAAACGAAAATAACTCTGCTGAAGGAAACGTACTTAAGGAGTATGACTCTACTAAATCACAGGAGTCGAAGGATAGCATCAACAAAATCCATGCTGAACTTGGCCTTGTACGTAGCAAAATACAGGCTGAGCCTATTGCGGAGCTTGAGAAATTCCTAAAAGACGCCGAAATAACTGAAAAACGTTACGTCAAAGAACTCCAGCGACAAGTTACCTCCGAAATAAAATCCGCCCAAACCAAACTCACCACACGCGCGCAGGCAGTACGTCGAGGCCCTCAAGTTCCTACTCACCGAATTTGCGACGAAGGTTGGAAACGAGCTAAATGGATTGCCGGACAAAATTGCTGCAGACTTGGATCAAGGCCACAAAAAATTCATGACGTTCCATGACACTTTCCTTAACAAGCTCATTAAAGATATTCCTCACATATCGCCCCGGGAGAAAACTCCACTCAGCAAGGCGGTACTTAAAGTAAGAAAGGGCTTTGAAAACTTTTTTGAGAGTTTTCAAGAGCAAGAGGAGACTACAAATTACAAAGCCCAAGTCCAACATGTCTACGCCAATATAAATATCTTTATGAAACAGCTTGCAGGTTCCCAACATTTCGATACTCTATTCAGCTCTAATGTCCAAGGCTTGCAGAACGTTCTTACTCACTTCAGCGCAGAAACGTTCAACGACGCCTCAAAGCCTCTGTTGTTACCGGTCAAACATGGATTACAAGATTTTGCCAAGGTGTTATCCAAGGCGTACCTAAACGTGTACGAGGGCTGCGATCCTATAAGTGATTGGGTCGACGAGAAAAACAAATTAACGCCTGAAGGAGAGAAGGGCGCTAAAATATTTTTGACATTATTAAGCATCGTCTGCTCACCCCTAATCATGGAGAGGTCAATGCACCAGATGGTAAATGGAGAGACTACAGAATATACAATCCAGAGAATGCTCGTATTAGCTTGCGTAGACACTTTTTCATTAGGAACGGTTACGATGTCGGCCATACCAGCAAGGTGGACGGCGAACTGAATCACAAGGCAGGCTTCACGGGTCAGAACATTTTCCAGAATCTTAATGAAGCCATAAACGGTGCAAGATTCAACGATCATCTCACAATATGTGAGCCAAATACTAAAGTAGATAACTTTAACGTCATGGACCTCCTTGACTGTCTTACCACTCACTTAAATGAATATATTGAGACTTGTCACATTAATCACATTGCTACACCAAAAACACCTAGCAACATATACCAAATGCTCTTGGGTCAATGGCCTTGGTATAATCCAGTACGTGACCCACTTTGTGAATACCTTAAGACATTGTTCGACAAACCTGAGGGGAAGAAGGAGATGGAATATTACGATTTTGCTCCTGACGACCTGACGATGTCTGCTCATCCAAGAAATTCTCAGCTGCGGACGTTCATTGGGCCCGCATTGCTTGCGAACAATTGTGCTCACTTCAATCCTCGGCTTCGGCCACGCAAGTGGCATATACGCAGTTGACTGCGCTAACAACTCACTTAATTTGCATTATCCCACAAACATGACATCATTAATATGCTTGCTGTTAGATATCTTTAAACGCCTATACCACCAGCTTTATTTTGTGTTTAAACAGTGTGAGTATAACCGTGACCTCAGTGGTTGGAGTGGTTGCCACTACGGCAGAGGCATTGCTGGCTCCGGCTGGCAGTGCAATGAGAAGCAATGTCCTAACCAAACATGTGACCAAAAGCATGACCAAATATGCAACCAAAACTGTAACCAAAGTGTTAAGTGCGGCCTTAAGTCGCCGCTTCAGTCCTTCTTAGAGGACGGACTTCCTGCTTTTTTGCCACATCAAGTGAAGTCTGAGAGAGGCAAACTTGAGTGCCCAGTAAAACAGCACTTTAACTTACCATGTAAAACACCAATGGGCTTCACTGATATCAGCCATATGGCATCGCATACGCACGTTGGTAAACACATTTACGTCTCTCTTGCCAGAATATGTGGCGATGAATGGTCTCCCCTCAGCAGACTATGTGCCCAGCTGAGCTGTCTCCTTCCTACTGCGCCGCAGACACTCGGTGACATGTTTGCATTTTATTACACTTTCCTCAACGGGTGGAAACTTACCCAGAACAATCGTAAGTTACATAGGGAGGAGGCATTTAAAAGTGCCGTAAGGAGTGCCAACTTCGGGGATCCCCAAACAGATTTGGACGTCACTCCTCTATTCAAGAGCAGCGGTCACAAAACCGGACAAACTAGTAAACATCTCACCGGCGATTTGTATTCCCTAGTTAACTGCCATGGTGAATCAACAACTCCATCCCACCCGTGTGGTCCGTACCTGCGACCAATTTGTCAAGACATGTGCAGTATGTTTGCCGCTAAGAACAATGAAAAATATCTTACGTGGATCGTATATTTGACGGACTCATTCCACGGGTTGTTGAAAGCTTTGTATGAGGAATGCAAGAATACGTGTGACGGTGACAGGGCCAAATGCCGTATTAGTAAGTGCAACAAAGGTTGCAAGGCTATACACTCGCCGATGTCCCCAACCTCCGCGCACACTGATAACTGCAATTCCATTGTCAACTGCAAATTTATACGTCCGACATTGTATAAATATGGGTTCACTCACAAGGACTGCAAAAGCCTGTCTGACAACTCGGGTAAGCGGACGTGTAAAGATTTTTGTATGATACTGAAAAGTGCAATCAGCGAAGAATGCTCAAAAAGAGCAGCGCTCGCGGAGCTCATATACAAGACGATTCCCGACTACCTGTGCGAAATCAGATGGCCATTTATGTTAACGTTGTTAGCCCTCTGGTCGCTCTCGCTCCTGTACCTGCTGCACATCGTAGTCGTCCGGCTAGACGTCCTGAGGATACGCTCCCACCTGCGCTCGCCCTCAAGCCACCGCATCGCCGCGCAGTCCCTCCTCGCCGCCGCACGCGTCAAGGCACTCGCCAACGTCAAGTACTTCTCGCCGTAATCGTGCCTTCACGTGTGATCTGTGTATCACTCACTCACCACCCACTCAACCACTCAACCACTCAACCACCCACTCAACCACTCACCCACTCACATACTCACTCACTCACTCAACCACATACTCACTCACTCACCCACTCACCCACTCAACCACTCACTCAACCACCCACTCAACCACTCAACCACTCAACCACCCATTCACTCACCCACCCACTCACCTCCTCCTTCACTGGTCGCTGTCGCTCCCTGCCTCACCCCCTTCATCACCTCCTCCGTCGGCGTCCTTCACCCAAATCCTCATTTTCCGCCTTTCTCCCTCCACCCCTAAAATCGCCTTACCTCCACCCATCTTCCCCCTTCATCGCCCTCTTTCGCCCCTTCACCTCCCTCGCCTCGTCCACCCACCTCCCTCACTGCCTCCTTCACCTAAAATCGCCTTTCTCCAAACTCCCCCAAATCGCCCTAAAAATGTGCCATTTCACCTCCCTTTACTTCTTTTAACTCCCCCTTAATCCACCTTTTATCCAACTACAATGACCATTACAATGAAGTCCATTACCTTACTCAGGATGCCAGACAAAAAGCCTTAGGGGACATTGAGGAGAGGCAGAATAAGCTTAAGGAACTTAGTGATAAACTTAAGACATTAATTGGCGATGACAATAATAATAATGGAGAATGTAAAAAACTTTTAGAAAAACTCACTGAAGGTCTCCAAACATTTTTAGGGTACAATGAAAAATCCAAAGGCTACACCGGAGAAGGGATCGTGTACTCCGACCTTGACAGGCTCTGCGACGGGGTGATGTCTTTCCTTCATGGAGTTCTTGGTAACATTCAGCCTAAATTAGGCTTACATAAAGAGTCTATAAAAGATGCAATTGACTCTCTTAACACCAATAAACACTCTGGCAAAGATGGTTTTAATGCTGCGATTAGCGCAGTGATGGAGGGGGTGATGGAGGAGGGAGCGAAGCGACCAGTGAAGGAGGGAGGTGAGTGGGTGAGTGATTAGGTGGTTGAGTGGTTAAGTGGGTGGGTGGTTGAGTGGGTGGTGAGTGCGGGTGGGCGAGAAATGGAGTGGGCGGGCGAAAAGGCGATGCGATAAAGGAGCGGGTGATCAGGGTGAGTGGTCGATGAGTGGTGAGCGGGCGAGTGATAGGGCGGTTGATGGGCGGTCGATGGGTGGCGGAGCGTGGAGCGGGGCGATTAGGCGGTTATTGAGCGAGTGGTCGATGGGCGAGTGGGTGATGGTCGGAGGGGGGCAAGGTGATGATAGGGCGGTTGAGTGGGTGGGTGAGTGGGTGAGTGGGTGAGTGAGTGGTTGAGTGGGTGGTTGAGTGGGTGATACACAGATCACACGTGAAGGCACGATTATGGTGAGAAGTACTTGACGTTGGCGAGTGCCTTGACGCGTGCGGCGGCGAGGAGCGACTGCGCGGCGATGCGGTGGCTGGAAGGTGACCTCAGGTGTGAGCGTATCCTCAGGACGTCGAGGCGGACGACGGCGATGTGCAGCAGGTACAGGAGCGACAGCGACCAGTGGGCTAATAAGAGGTAGGAGAAGGGTGTACGGATGGCCCAGATGAACTCATCAATTTCATCAAATAATTCTTTGAAATATCCTTTCGTTAGAACTCTGTTCAACTGTTTTACAAAATTGTCACATGTCTTCTTGCTTCCGGATCCCATCAACTCTTTCGGCATTCCGAATGTGAAACCGTACTGGTAGAATACGGACATAGGCCCTTTACACTGGACGATCGAAGTGCAACCGCAGCTTGGCTTAGGATCTTTTGGCGCTTGCGATGTATCTTCCTCAGTGACGCCGTGTTTACCAAAGCCGCATTTACATTGACATCCATATGTTTGACAGGATATGTTATTGAACGCCTTGAGCAACTGATCAAGCAAATCCCAGAATGTCCATGCCAACCGGCAAAGCCATGACAGATACAAGGCTTTATGTTTCTGAGGATATGTGTGACAGGCGTCGTGGCACAGAGCTTTGAGGTAAGGGGCGCAGGTGAAATTGGTAGAACATTGTTTTGTCTTGTCATCCGATGGGTTAGGTGACAAAGTGTGAAGACCACGATGATTATCGTCGGTTATGGTACCGTTATGTTCTTTGTCAGAGCAATACAATGCTTTCAGCGCATCTGTAAGCTTCGAAGTTTGGTAACTTTGGTGAAGCCACATATCATTTTTGAACGGGAAACTTAGATGAATGGCACTGTCAATTTCACCCTTATATTTCACTTCGTGACCATACACTGAACCATACGATTTCTGCATAACGTTACAGTAGTACGAGAACATCTCTGCCAAGCCCTTCGGTGGAGAGGGCGATATGCATTGTAATGCGTGCACTAATTCACACAGAACTGAACCGCCATTTTTACAAAGCGTAGAAAGCACATCAACGAGGTCATCGCCACGGCCTGTAATAGAGCCCGCAGTGGCCAAATCTGCGAAGCCCATTGGGGTAATACATTGACCAACAAGTGAGCCCTTAGGGCACGTTGAGCACATGGCCTGGCAACCGACAGCTGTGAACTTATGCGGCATGAAACCAGGAAGCCCGTCCATAAGATGGGCCTGAAGCGGGGACTTTGGTAAGCACGTTGGTTGGTCATTTGGTTCACTATTTGGTTGGCACTTAGCTTGACTCTTTGGTTGTGTGTTTGAGTTGTCGCTAAGCTCATCGCAACTCCACTGGTAACTGCCGACGCGATAGCCATACTGACACTCACGCCACCCGTTGCCGTCGGCTGCTGTGTACCTACATTGTTGGTATAAGAATGACATTGCACGCAACAAACGTTGGCACATATCTTTTAGAATACCAAGCAACGACGACGGATCACCGGGGTAATAGAACCCTCCGTGGTTGTTCTCAAAGCAACAGGCATAGGGATACGCAGCATGGTTAACGCCAAGGCCGTGGCCCTGGATGGAGACTAATAATTTAGGTGCCAATTTACATACAGTTTTAATGTTACCGTATAGGTGTTCCAAGGATCTCTTCATGACTGTATCCTCCTTGTTGGGGAATGCACCGGTTGCCTTGTCTTGCTCATTGAGCATCTTTTTACAGTGGCCATTGATTGTTTTATAAACGGCAGTATGTGGGAGACCGGCAAGCCATACACAAATATCACGAACGGAACACGGATACTTTTTGGACTTCGGGAGTCCGAGGTGGCAAGATTGGTAATACTGAGCGACGTGAGATGTGAGACATTTAAGTAGGTCGAAGAGATCAAAGTTATTTTTAGTGTCTTTGACTGATGGACATTTTGGAAGATGTTCGTTAGTGTCGGCGGTGAGAGTGATCTTCTCAAGAAGCTTGTTAAATACATGTCCCCCCCTCATGTTGACATGACATCTCAGCTCTCCTTCATAGGAGCTTTCCGTTCTCGAAACCTTGTAGCCGCAGTCCCTGAAAAATGCGCCGAGGGGATTATAGACGCTTGGCTTGGAGATGAGGGAAATTTTGTGTTCCTTCCACTGACCGTTTGTCTTGTGACATCTCTCATGAAGCTCATGTAGATTGTGGTGCAGAGTCTTGAGAATGGTGACGAGAATTTGGGCGCAATTTTTCTTGTCTGGATTCTTTTCATCGCTCCAGTTTATTGGATCAGCTCCATCGTATTTTGAAATATACGCTAATTGAAGTTGTTCGACCAAATCCGAGAAGCCATTTTTTAAAGCGTTGAGTAGCAAAGGGCTCTTGGCTTCGCCGTATGATTTTGGATTAAATGTAGTGAATGTTTTTTCGAGTGACTCTAAATTATTACTAAAGTCATGGTTAAAGTGCTGCGAAGTGGTCAGGTTGGTAAGTAAGTTGGTGAGTGCGTCACTCGAAGCCTTAACTTTCTGGAAGTCGGACATGAAGTCATCTTGGACTTGTAATTTCATGGCAAATGACACAAGTGCCGTCTTCAATTTAGAGGTGGCTAGGCTGAATGTGGACCTTGTTTGAGACGACATTCTTGTGGACCGAGATGGCGAAGTATTGTGTATATTATTAATTTGCTTGATGAAATACTTTTCGAGTTTTGCCATGAATCCTTTGTGGCCTGTCTCCAAATCGCCGGCAATATCTCTCGGCAGACCATGCAAATCCTTTCCCACTTTGTCGGAAAATGCGGCGAGCAACGCTTTGAGGGAATTAATGTACTGCCTGCGCGCGTGGGTGGTGAGTTGGTTGCACGCATCCTCCGCCGCTTTTTTGATGTGACGTTTGAGTTCTTCAATGTAATGCTTTTCAGCAGCAGTGACGTATTTTATAAACTCATCGGCGTCCTTGAGGGCCTTGGACACAGGGCCTTGCAGATCGGCAAGTTGGTCGTGAATTTTTTGAAGGGTTCCTTCAGCAGCTTCGGTTGTGCCGTGCTGCTTTTTGCCGATCATTGTTTGAAGTTGAGTCAGTTGCTGGTTGATTTTTTGGCCGGCCTTAGACATCTCTTGTAGGAGAGCTTCGAGATTATCTCTGATTTTCCCGAGAAATCCATCAAAGTGACTGTACTCTGACTTGCCTTTCACACCTAATCTTTCTTCAAATAGTTGCAGGCCAAATTCCCTAATCTCCTTGATCTTCGCTGGAAGGGCGCCTTCAAGGTTATCCATGTTGTCGGCATTGAGAGTGTCAATGTTATCTTGTTTGACTTGGGCTTTGTATTTCGTGAAGATCTTTTCAGTGGTGTCTTTAATGTTGATTTTATCTGCAGTATCACTGTCCACTTTCAACTGCTCCTCAAGGACATCTTGAGAACCTACACCAGTACCGCCACCGGTACCGGCGGCGCTTGCTATCTGGCCTTTAAGGAGCTTCTTGTGGGTGTCGTGGAAATTGGACATGAGACCTTGGCCGATTTCATAATTGTTGTCACCACCACCCGTCGACGCCTTTTTAAAGTATTCCTTTTCAAGTTTTTCCTTAATCTCCTTCTCAACGGATGAGGTACCACCATCTTTACCGGAGCCATCGCCTTCAACCGACTTTTTTAGATACGTGTCAAGGTCAACTGCATTTTTCTTAGCCGCGTCGATCTCCTTCGCGATACTAGAGTCCCCTCCCACCTTTTTCTCGTCGCTGATGAGCCATGCAAAATCGGCAGCTTTATGTCTGGCCGAAGCAAGAAGGTTTTTGAGAATGCGGTTGAGGACTGAAGTGAGAAGCGTTTTGTCATGGGTTCCCTTACCGCTCTGAGGAGTCAACAACCCCTCTCTTTCATACTGTTCAGCGATGCTCTGAACTATAGCAGATATTCTAAATTCTGCGGATTGCATACTCTTCGTCAGCTCTTGGACGAATGAATCAATACAAGTTTTTATCTTTGTTAAATTAGTAGCGATTCCAGCTTTGTCAGAGTTTTCTACAGCAGTAACGCCTGTAATTATGCTTTGAAGCTTCGAGTCAATAACCTTTCTAATATGCTTTATAACGTTTTGTTTTATCCCACCTTGGTCCTGTTGCTGAAAATAGCCAGAGCGCTTGTTACTTTCAACATAGGCATCAATTAACACGTCTACCGTCTTGTCCTTCCCTAATACATCTCCAACCCACCCCTGCACTTTTTTCTCAAATGCTCCCTTTTCTTGAAAATCCTTGTACAACTGCCACACCGCCTTTTCGATTCCCCTTAAACCATTGACTGAATATGGATCTTCACCCCTAAGAATTTTTCCAACATCTCCCCTAATTTTCGTCCTCAACTGCTGAACATAATGCTTCATCTGTGTATTAACTCCCTCCTCCAAAAACTTTAAATCATCCTTCACATTCCCATCCAACTTTGTTCCCAACTGCATGATCGCCTGCTTGATATTATTCTTAACCTTCCACAAATCCTTCTTCAGCTCGCCGTCCATCGTCTTCACGGCCTGCAGCGCCTTTCCAACCAGTTCTTTGACGTACTTCTCCGCCTCCCCAAAGGTGTCTTTGATTCTCGTCGTAACATCCTCAATACTTTGCTTAGCTCCCCAAGCAAAACTCTTATTCTCAAGTCCATTAGCTACGTCCATGGATTCTCTCACAATTCTGTCTGCTTCACTAATCCAATTTTCCAACTTGCTAACGTAATTACCAAGATCTTTTTCAATCCCTACCAACTTGTCTCTAATTTTCCGAACCATCTCTCTCAATGTATTCACCAGGGTATTAACATCGGCTGTAATATGCTCATTTATGCACTTTTGCAAAGCATTCATCGTGTCAATAATGGCTTCATTCATTCTAATCATGTCCTGCCACTGCTTAGTGGATGCCTTGTCCAGCCGTTCACGTTCATGTGCAATAGTATTTCTAACATTATTTACCCTAGTGCGCAAATCGTGATTTAGGTGATCTATGTTTAAAAGTGCTCTTCTCATATCTTTGCCGAAAGTGTCAGCATTGCGTATACAGCTCATCGAGCTGTCGTAGATCAATGACTCCGCCTTCTCGACTTGTTCCGGTGTGAATGTCACCGGCTGCTTGGGATTCATGGTACCTGCAACAGAATGATCCTTTAAAATTTCACTCACCTGTTTTTTCAGCGTCTCCATCTCCTCTTGAAGCTTGATTATGGGATCGGAGACTTTCTTATTAGACCTCTCCACCTCCCTATTATACCTCCCGACACCCTGCGCCACCAAGTCAATGACACTCTTAAAACCATTATGACCTGAACACAAATTACCATTAAAATGACTCAAAACATTATCACGTAATATATTTTTACCAACATTGTAAGGCTGTTTAGCGTGAACATCATTAAGCACTGAGTGCAAGAATGCCATCACCCCGTCGCAGAGCCTGTCAAGGTCCGAGTACACGATGCCAGTGCCATCGTAGCCTTTGGATTTTTCATTGTACCCCAAAAATGTTTGGAGACCTGAACACAAATTTGTTAAAAGCTTTTCACATTCTCCACTTGGTGATGAATTAACTTTATTAGCAAAATCACAAAGCTCTTTCAGTGTCTCAAGAGACCTCTTGGAAGCATTATGAGACTGAAGATCCTTATTAAGTTTGTCAATTTGAGAGGCATTTTGAGGAAATTAATAGGCAATTGTAAGAATTAAAGGGGGATTATTTTAGGCACATTTTTAGGGCGATTTGGGGGAATTTGGAGAAGGGCGATTTTAGGTCAAGGAGGCAGCGAGGCAGTGAGGGAGGAAGATGGGTTGAGGAAAGGCGATTTAGGAGGTGGAGGGAGAAGGTGTAAAACGAGGTTTTGGGCGAAGGACGCCGACGGAGGAGGTGATGGAAGGGGGTGAAGGTAGGGAGCGAAGCTACCAGTGAAGGAGGGAGGTGAATGAGTGTTTAGGTGAGTGGGTGGTTGAGTGGGTGAGTGGTTGAGTGGTTGAGTGGGTGAGTGGTTGAGTGGTTGAGTGGGTGAGTGAGTGGGTGATTAGGTGAGAGGGTGAGTGGGTGAGTGGTTGAGTGGTTGAGTGAGTGGTTGAGTGGTTGAGTGGTTGAGTTGGTGAGTGGTTGAGTGAGTGGTTGAGTGGTTGAGTGGTTGAGTTGGTGAGTGGTTGAGTGGGTGGTTGAGTGAGTGGTTGAGTGAGTGGTTGAGTGGGTGGGTGAGTGATAGGGTGGTTGAGTGGGTGGTTGAGTGGGTGGGTGAGTGGGTGAGTGGGTGATTAGGTGGGTGAGTGGTTGAGTGAGTAGGTGAGTGGGTGAGAGGGTGGGTGGGTGGTTGAGTGGGTGAGTGGTTGAGTGGTTGAGTGGGTGGTTGAGTGGGTGGTTGAGTGGGTGAGTGAATAGGTGATTAGGTGGGTGGTTGAGTATGTGAGTGGGTGGGTGGTTGAGTGGTTGAGTGGTTGAGTGGTTGAGTGAGTGGGTGGTTGATTAGGTGGGTGGGTGGTTGAGTGGTTGAGTGGGTGAGTGATACACAGATCACACGTGAAGGCACGATCATGGTGAGAAGTACTTGACGTTGTTGAGTGCCTTGACGCGTGCGGCGGCGAGGAGCGACTGCGCGGCGATGCGGTGGCTGGAAGGTGACCTCAGGTGTGAGCGTATCCTCAGGACGTCGAGGCGGACGACGGCGATGTGCAGCAGGTACAGGAGCGAGAGCGACCAGAGGGCTACGAGAGTCCAGATGAAAGGTTCGCGAATTCTGAATAAGAATTCTGGAATGGTTATAAAAACCAACGTGTGGAACGCTCTGCCTTCTTGCAGGAGATTTTCTAATGCTTTGCAGAAATTCTTACATGTTCTTTTTGTTACGGTTGTGTCAGCAGGATCACCGAGTTTGGCTGCATTTCCGAAATGAAAGCCATATCTACATAACGTCGGAAGTGTTGATGGGCAGTGAACAATTGATTTGCATAATGGCATATGGTTAGATGACGAAGCATTTTGTCCTGCCGGGCAACCTTTATTGCAACTGTGGTCATAGCACCTGGAGCCTTTTGTACCGCAGGTCTTGTTGCACTCTTCATAGAGCGCTTTAAGTAGATGGTAGAATGTTTCTGTTATGTAGGTGATCCACGACAGATACTTATCGGCATTCTTGTTGCTGAACACGCTGCTTATATCATGATTAAGGGGATGCAAATACGGGCCGCATACAATAGAATTTCTCGAGGTGCAAACGAGAGTGTAGAGGTCAGCGTTCGCTTCTTTATGTGAATGCTTAGGGCTACCGAACATGGTAGAGGGATCGAGGTCGACATATGCCTCACCGAAATTTGCTTTGGCAACAGCTTTATTAAATGCGTCGCTTCTATGTTCCGTGTTTGTGCTCCACGCAGTAAGGAAATTGTAATAGAAAGAAAACATATCGCCTAGTGTTTTAGGAGCGGTAGGCAAGAGACAATTTAGCTGGCTACACAGATTGGTGAGTGGGCTCTCTGCTTTGCCACAGAATTCCTTAAGCGCATGGTAAAGTCGGGAGCCCTTACTAGTATGCGACGCAACTATGGAACACTCGGAGAAACCCATTGGAGTGACGCATGGAATGCCGTGATGATTTTTCACAGTGCATGTCAGTTTGCAACCGGGTTTACTAAATGTATGAGGCAGGAAGCCGGGGAGGCTATCTTCCAAAAAGGATTGGAGTGGCGACTTGACGCCGCAGTTTGGATGTTGGTTACACTTTTGGTTGGCCTTTTGGTCAGCTATTTGGGGACACGTTTGGTTGGCACACTGCTTCTCATTGCATTGCCAGCCGGAGCCGCCGACACCCTGACCATACGAGCAATTGTACCAGCCGCTGTGCTCGGTAGTTTGTGAACACTGTGTATACAAGAAATAGAGTTGATAGAATAGTCTGCGCAATATATCTACAAGCATGTCACAGCACTGAGCAGGGCTACTAGGATACGATAATTTATCTGGGTTGGTATTGAAATCGCAGGCGTAAATTCCATTAGAATGGCCACTGCCAAGGATGACAGTAAGGGCGGACTGGGAATGTAAGCATACACTATAAAGTGCATCTTCTATATCGTTATGTGTGAACACAGATGGATATGCGGAGATGGGCTTAATTGATTTGCCAGATGGATCTTCCTTATCGTCCACCAGGAAAAGCGTTTCTAGATATTTGGTGAGTGGAGTTAGTATGCTATTATACCTGAGGCCACTAAGCCAAAACAGCATTTGGTATATATTACAAGGAACAGATTGCTTGTCGGCAATTGTGAAGTGGCAAGCACGGAAATAGTCTTTTATGTTGTCGTGGAGTGTTGATATATGTTTCAGAATATTATTCTTGTTTATTAATTCGGTGCGAATTTCGTCACCCTTGAAGTCTGCCTTGTAATTCAACTCGCCACGCTCAGCATTCTTAGGAAGGCCAAGATCGTACCCGTGTTTAGTAAAGATAGCTCTATGTAAGCTATTGCGAGGGGTTTCGGAATTGTACATTTTATACCCATTCCACCCGCTTTCACCAAGCCCCCTCCTAAGTGTGAATAAATCACGGAACAGCGTCGATGTGATGGTGAGCAACACCTTTGCGCCACGCTCGCCGTCGTCTGTCAGCTTGGTTTTCGGTGACGCATTTTCAGCAGGCACTTTATCTTTTTCTGTAGTCACCCACTCCTTGATCGGCGCGGCCCCCTCGTACACGTTCGTGTACTGCTTCCTGAGTTGGTCGGCCAGCGGCGTGAAGCCTGCTCGCAGGGCGTTGAGGATGGAAGAGAGTTGTCCCTCGCCGTATTTCGTCGGATTAAACGCGCTAAGTGATTCTATCAGTTTGTCTAAGTTTGTGAAGAAATTAGGATCGAAGTATCTTGACTTGCCGAGGTCAGTCAGCAGAGTGTGAAGTGCGGTGGTGGACGGCTCGATTTTCGGGAAGTCTTCGGTGAAGTCGTCTTGTATTTTCAATGCGTTGAAGAAAGATGATGAAGCGGCGTCAAGAATTTTTGCGGCTTCACTCAGCGGGGATTTTTGTTTTGTGAAGTCCGTAGGAACAACGCCACTAATCTCCTTGAGCTTGTTAAGGAAATGCTCATGGAACGTCTTCATAAACTTCTTGTGGCCTTGATCCAAATCTGCAGCAATTTTGTCCGGCAATCCATTTAGCTCGTTTCCAATCTTCGTGGCGAACTGCTGGAGCGCGAACTTGAGGGCGTCGACGTACTGCCTGCGCGCGTGGGTGGTGAGTTTGGATTCGGCGGAGTTGACTTCTTTTTTGACGTGTCTTGTGAGTTGGTCGACGATGTCTTTGCTGTGATGATCGATGTATTTAATCAGATAATCGGCGTTTTTAATTGGGCCCTGGTCCAATGAGGTTTGTAGACCGGCAAGTTGGTCGTGAATTTTTTGAAGGGTTCCTTCAGCAGCGTCGGTGGTGCCGTGCTGCTTTTTGCCGATCATTGTTTGAAGCTGAGTCAATTGCTGCTTAACAGCCTTGCCGGTTCGAGAAACTGTGTCGAGGAGAGCTTCGAGATTTTCTCTGATTTCCCCGAGAAATCCACCAAGTGCAGTATACTCTGTTTTTTCTTTGGCGCCTAAATTTGTTTCGAATAGTTGCAGACCATAGGTCTTGATCTCCTTGATCTTCTCTGGAAGGGCGCCTTCAAGGTTGTCGATGGTAGCGTCACTGAGAGTGTCAATGTTATCTTGTTTGACTTGCAGTTTGTAGTTCGTGAAGCCTGAAGAACCATTAATGTCCACTGTACCACTTGCCTCTTTCAACTGCTGCTCGAGCGTGATGCCCACCTGCGCGATCGCGGTGTCGACCAGGCCGGCTGGGCTGGGAGGGGGGGGATTTTTAGTAGCGTTATTAAGATTGGCGTGGAGCGAAGTAATGTTACGTTCCAGTGCTTTTAATTCTTTATAAGATCCCTCACGATCGGTTAAGCCGATATTAGTGATGAGGTCAGTAACTTTTTTCCTAACTTCTGCGTCAAACTGACTAAGAAGAGTGTCAAGGTTGACGGGAAGAATCTGTTGGTATGGGCTATAACTACCACGCAAATACTGTGCTTGGGGAGCCATATAGCCGTTGCCGTGACCACCCAGTTGGTTGGCACTTTGCGCCTTGATTTGGATGGCAGTTTCACTAGAAATTTGTTGAGCTGCACTGTGAGCATTTGATAGAGTAGAATACAGGGATCGTTGTATGTTCGATTGAATTGTACCTGAACTACCCTGGCTCTCAATTTCACCTATAAGATCTTGTAGTCGATTTTCTTGCTCTGTGAAACGTTGCATTGTACGCTCATTAATATATGCGTCTACATTGTGACATAGCTGACTCAGCCTCTCGAAACAAAGTTGGAGTTTAAGAATAAGATTTTTTATTTGATCAGGCTGGAGCTGGGGCGTTGGTGATCGGAGTGGAGTAATTTGCTGCTGCAATTCCTGCAACTCCCCGTCAATCTCCTTCTTCCAAGATTCGTTGCTGCTATTAATGGCTTGTAATATCCGAGTGCGTAATGATTCAATCTCACGTTTCCCTTCGTCGATCTTTTGTTGAGATTGATTTTGTGTTACGTTACGCGTAACTTGAGAAATACGTCTCTTCAGTTCGTCCAAATTTTGGCGCTGCTGCCATCCCTGAGCATCTGTCGTTTTTAAAACACTTTCTGGTAGGCTCCCCAACTGCATCTTGATTTTCCTTTCCAGTTCCGCAGCCTGCGCATGGATAAACTTGACGGTGACGTTGCGAACTTTGGAGTCTAACTCAGTAAGGTTGGAGACAATATGTGTGCTATACTTGCTTGCGATACCTTCGATACCTCCATCCTTTCCATTTTTAATCATCCCAACCTGTGCTTGAACATATTGCACAAGCGCTTGAATGGTTTTAATTTCTCCGTTATTTTTGCCATTAATAACACCACCAAGCTCCTTTACCTTCTCCGTAATCCTCCCTACCGCCGTACTTATCTGTGTCCTCACCCCGTGCAAATCCTGCTTCAGCTCGTCATCCATCGTCTTCACGGCCGTGAGGGCTGATTTGACCAACGATTCAACGTATCCTTTCCCCTGTATAAATGCAGTGTTAATCTCTTTCACAGACTTCTCAATGTTATCTTTATTTACAGAACCAACACTCCCATTTGTAATTCCACTTACTTTACTCATTGCACCATCCACAATTCCGTCCGCATCCTTAATCCATTTCTGCAACTCGTTAATACGTTGCGACAAATCCCTACTGATGTTCCTAAGCTCCTTCAAAATCTCTTGGACCATTTTCGTTAACTCATCCAGAAGCTTTTTAATGTCTTCACTAATTTTATTATTTACGCAATTTTGAAGAGCGATCAGCGTATCCTTAATTTTCTGCTCCGTCCTTGTGAACTCCCCCTCCTCTTGCACCTTCACCCTCCCCAACCTACCACTCTCATACTCCACTGTCCTACGCACGTTCTCAAGCCTATCTTTTAATTTAGCATTTAGGTCGGAAATTGCGTTGTTAAGTGGATTAGTGTCTACAGTGGTGTTAAGTGCGCTAGTGAATTTTTTAGCGTGCTCTTGACATTCTTGCACCTTGAGATTAATAGACTTCTCAGCTTGCTCCACCTTCACGGCCGTACTTAATGCAGTCTCTGAGAATTCTACATCTAGAGTCTTCTGCTCGTACCGTTTGACGGCAACCTGCAACAAATTAATTTGTTGACTTACCTTAGAATTTGAGGCGGCGACTTCATTATTGTACCTCCTGACCCATCCCTCCACCGCGGCTATCGCCGCCCTGTATTTAGCAATACCATTATCATTTTTGTTGTTAAGTGAGTTAAGTGCGCTATCTAAAGTGTCTTTATGCTGGCCTAATTTAGGCTTAATGTTATGCAAAACTCCATGAAGGAAAGACATCACCCCGTCGCAGAGCCTGTCAAGGTCCGCGTACACAATTCCTTCCCCGGTGTAATTACCATCTTTGAGGCCGAGAAATTTTTCGAGGCCTGTGCAGAGGTTATTTAATAATGTTGTTGAAGGATTATTTTAGGCACATTTTTAGGGCGATTTGGGGGAATTCCAGAAAGCGGATCTTAGGCCCATGAGGCAGTGAGGGAGTGAGGATAAGCGACAGGGTGAGGAGGTGAAGGCCAAGAGGGCGACGAAGGAGGAAGATGGGTGAAGGCAGGTTTTGGGGTCGAGGGAGAAAGTGAAAAAAGAGTACCTAGTGAAGGACCAACGGATGAGGTGATGGAAGGGGTGACGGAGGATGGAGCGAAGACCAGTGAAGGAGGAGGTGGTGGGTGATACGCGGTCGATGAGGGCGGCGGCTACTGATGATGCCGATGAGCGGGCGGGCGGCACGATGCGCGGAGCGATGGCGGCGAGTACGGTCGATGAGTGCAAGGCGGCGGGCGGGTCGATGATGCGATGCGATATGGGCGGTCGATGCGAGCGATGAGAGCGGGCGGCGATGATGGGGCGGCGGCCTGATGAGGAGCGAGCAGGCGATTTTTGGATGAGCGCTGGTTTTGGCCGATGAGCGGTCGATGGTCAGCGGAGTAATGTGGAGCAGGCGATGGCCGATGGTACCGATGATGATCGAGGCGATGGACGTTTATTGTGCGCGATGATTTATTTATTTATTATGATGGTCGATGACTGGGCGAGCGGGCGAGCGTATCGATGCTGAGCGCAATTGATGATTGATGAGCGATCAGCGGAGATGGGCGATGAGCGGCGGGCGGCGATGATACACAGATCACAACGTGAAGGCAACGATCACGGCTGAGAAGTACTTGACGTTGGCGAGTGCCCTGACGCGTGCGGCGGCGAGTAGCGACTGTGCGGCGATGCGGTGCGATGCTGGTGATCTCAGGTGGGAGCGTATCCTCAGGACGTCGAGGCGGACGACGGCGATGTGCAGCAGGTACAGGAGCGACAGCGACCAGAGGGCTAATAAGGTTGTCATGAATGGCCATCTGATTTGCTTCAAGAATCCATCGATAGCATGGAAGAGTTTAACAAGAACAGAGTTTTCATTTAGCACTGTTTTTAATAGTGTACAAAAATCATTACATGTGCGTTTCAATGGCATTCCATTCATGCCGGCGAGGTCTAACGTGTTTTCAAAATATAGACCGTATTTGCACAATGTTGGCAGTGTGAATGTGCAATTTACAATTGAATGACAGGATTCATCATGCGTCGATTCAGGGCTCATCGGCCACTTTGTAGCTCCGCAATTTGTAATGCATTTACTTTTACGGCATCTTGGTTTCTCACCGCCACATTTACTGTTACACTCATCATACAAATTGCTTAGCAGCTTATAGAAAGTCTCTGTTAAGTAGACAATCCACGATAGATATTTGGCTGCGTACGTCTCTGAATATATGCCTCGGATGTCATGGCACAGTGATCTCATATACGGACCACATGGGTGTGACGCAGCGTCCCCTGTTGTACCGGTGCATTTAACAAGAGCGTGCAGATCACCGGTGAGGTGTGGCATACAATTACCAGATTTATGATCGATGCTTTTGAATATTGGAGCAATGTCCAGGCTTGTACTTTCGTTTTCGAAATTGGCACTGATCACGGCTTTGTTGAAGCCATCCTTACGATGGGTACCGCTACCACTCCAACCATGGATGAAGGAATAGTAGAACCCAAACATCTCGCCTAACGTTCCAGGTGGACGATTTACAAGGCATACAAGGTAGCCGCATAATCTGCTGAGCGGCTTGCTAGCATCGCCACAGAAATCGTAGAGCACATCTCTGAGATACGCACCTGTTTTAGTGTGAGATGCTGTCGTGGCAAGCTCACCGAAACCCATTGGCGTCTTACAAGGCAATCCCCTGTGGTTAGACACGGTACATTCTAGTTTGCAACCGGGCGTTTTGAATTGATGCGGCAAGAACCCTTGTAGGCCGTCTTCAAGGAACGATTGAAGCGGCGACTTGAGGCCACAGTCAGGATGTTGTTTGCACTTTTGGTTACATGTTTGGTCACACGTTTGGTCAGGGCATTGCTTCTCATTGCACTGCCACGATGACCCAGCGACGTGTTGACCGTAATGACAGTCACGCCATCCACTGCATTTACTTACGACACAACATTGTCTGTAGAGGAAGCACAATTGTTGTTGAAGCCTACACAGTATATCTATAAGCATGTCCATGCACGCGGCAGGGTTTGTGGGATACATTAAATTGCGGGAGTTGTCGGAGAACTCGCAGGCGTAACGCCCGTCGGAATGTCCGTAGCCCTGGATGGCGATGAGTGTTTTTTCGGCTTGACGGCACACTACGGTAAGTGTGCCTGCCAGTGTGTTAGGTCTCAGCGTAGATTTCGATAGCTTGCTTAGGACATCGTGTGGAGCTGTCACGGCCAATCCTTTTTCTGCGTCGCTAAACAACCCGTTGAAGGCACTCACGACTGGCTGCCGCATGGGATTGTACCGGAGGCCGACCAGCCATTGCAGCATCTCGTTTACGCTAGACGGTGACTTAGGTGATTGTGGAATAATTAAGTGGCAAGTCTTATTATATTGAGTGAGGTGATCGAACAGACAGTCAAGGATGTCGAGGGCATTGAAGTCATCACCACGTAATAAACACGTTTTAAGATGTTCATTCTGAGTGGCGGTTGAAATAGTGTCATTCAGCTTTAATTGAATGTTGTCACCAGTGAAATCGTTGATAGGTAATTTCAACTCGCCCTCCTTGGAGAGTAGATTTTTGGCTACTTGGAATCCACAGCGCTGTAAGAATACGCCAAGAGGATTCTTTTTATCGCCATCTACTTCACAGATTTTCTTGGTCTTCCAATTCGTGTCACATTCTTCTCTTAGATTGTTCAAGTCGCGACGCAAAATGGCTAAAAGCGTGGCACATACTTTGGCGGCATTGCGGCCTTCGTCAGTCAATTCATTATTGTCGTCAGTCTGTTTGGGGACTTTAACTGGTATTGTTTTGGAATTCTCTTTAGGTTTCACTAGAGGTCCAGTGAAATGCACACCGGAGTACCTGCTGACGTACTGCTTGCGTAGCTCCTCGTGGAGGTCCGTGACGCCTTGCTTTATGACGTTGAGCAGGGGAGAGGCTTCGGCGAATTTCGTTGGAGTGAAGTTGTGCAGTGCTTTTTGAAGTGCGTCGATTTTTTCGGAGACGGAGTGGTGGAAGTGTTTTTTGTCAAACATGGTGTCAAGTAGACTGTCGAGAGATGAAGTGACTGACGTAATTCTCTCTTCGTAAGAGAGCAAATCAGATTGCTCTTTAAGAGCTCCAAAAAACTCTTTCCAGAAGTTTTGTACATTTACAGCGAATAAACGAAGTTCATTGCCAGAGGGATACAGTTCATGTATCTCAAACGTATCTTGCAGCTTGTTCATCAGGCCTTTCAGGCCTGTGTCTGAATCCTTTTGGATAATGTCAGCAATTTGGGGGACCTGGGCACTCACGGAAGTATATAACGCCTTCAATTCAGCCTTCTTTTGGGAATCGAACATATTTTCTACGCTATCTTCTAGGTCGTTGAGGGCCCGATTCACAAACCCCTGCAGGTTTATTTTCAACTCTTGCAATTTTCCATTCGCAGTCTGGCGAGCGGTTTGTAAGGCTGCTTCTACGGCCTTAATCGCCGATTCCAGGGCTTCGCCGGCTAATCTAATTGGTTCATTTATTGCTTTGATACTGTCTAGAATGCCATCAATTCTAGATTTCAAGTCGTCCATTACATAACCGGCAGTCTGTTGGTTTTGTTGGACAGTGCTGGGAACATTTTTTAGAGCGCCAAGTTCTTCATGAATTTTTTGAACGGCAATTGTAAGCGCACTTCTAGATTTTTCAAAGAGTCCCATGATAGCCTTCACATTAATTTGATCTTCACCTGTATCACTACGCTTCATCTTGAATTCCTCGAGAGCCCTCTCAATCGCCGTCCTGGCTGCGTTTCTGATTTCTGCTTCAGCGGCATCGTTGAACTTCTTAATTGCTTTGTCAAGCTTGCCGTCTTCATCTGCGTCATCGTCATCGTCATCGTCGGCGTCGTCGCCATTACCGCCGATCGCAGCCGTTAAGTCAATGATACACTTAGCGAGAGAGTCGGCAGCTGGTTGGTCGTGGGATCCTCCCTGACCGTAGATGGCTTCTCTGAAAGAGCTTAAATGACTTGCAAGTCCCTCGATTTTTCCTTTAGACTCCTGCTCATAGTTAACCCACAGTTCGGCTGACTTACTCGTAATCGGCTCAAGGGTCTTACTACCTAGATTCGTCATCGCCGTCTGAAGATCTGTCAACTCACCGCTCACAAGACCATTACCGCCAGCCTTATCATTTTGCACACCTGCGGCAAGTTCATTAATCCCCTCCTTCAACCTATCCAAATCCGCCAGCACATCGACTTCCAGTCCCGTGACTTGCTGATTGACGATTCCAAATTGCTTCAAAAGCTCTGTGCTGTTATCATCATTCTTAGCAAACTTCTCAATCTCTGTTTTTATTTCATCAAACCTCTGAGTTATATCGTTCTTATACTTTTGTGTGAATCCCTCTGACTTATCGTCACTAAGCAAATCCTCCGCCAGCTTCTCGGCCGTTGACACGGCTGATTCAATCTTCTTAATCTGCGTAGTTTTTTGCAGCCTAACTTCATTAATATTCTTCTCAATACTCGAAAACTTCACATTCAAAATTCTATCAACCTCATTTATTTGGCTCGAAATATGCGTCCGCACTTCTCTACGATGTTGACTGAATCTATTTTCAAGCTGGGTAACAAAAGTTGTTACGGCGCGGTCATTAGCGGACGTCCAAAAATTGCTAACAACGGTTTTAACTAATTCAATTTTGTCCGCTATTTTACTTCTCAGATTTCCATCAATTACCTCCAAGGCTCTCTCAGCCTTCTCAGCATCTTGAAGGTAAAGGCCTGAAATACTTTGCCAATTTTGCAATTTATTTACAAGGGACATTTTTTCCATGTCAAGTGTCAGATGACCGTCGATAATTCTCTCTAAATTTTCCAATGGTTTTGTAACGTTATTATGCTTTCCATCCACCCCCCTCACCCACTGCTTAATCCCCTGACTCACAGCGCGAATACTACTATCAAAACGCTCTCTATTATAGAGAGCTTCTTTAATTTTTGCAAGTGGCGTAGTTAAAGGATCTTTGTATTTTAGAAGATTATCATTTTTATAAACTTCATTTAAAACACCATGAAGGAAAGACATCACCCCGTCGCAGAGCCTGTCAAGGTCCGAGTACACAATGCCCTCGCCAGTGTAATTACCATTACTGAAGCCGAGAAATTTTTCGAGGCCTGTGCAAAGACTCTTTAAAAGGTTTTTGCAAGCATCATCATTATTATTACTAAGAGAATTCAAGGAGTCATTAAGGCTCTTCAGCTTCTGAAGAGACTGCAACTTGGACTGACAAGACTCATGAGACTTATTAAGGTCATCGGGGACAGACGTTTTTAGGTTTTTATGTTGTTTTATTTTAGAGTCAAGTGATGCAATTTCTGCTTCATAACGCTGAATTTTCTGCTGAAGCTTCACAGTATCTATGAGCCCAGCAGGCACGGAAGCAGAAGACTGCGGAGTCGGAGACGAAGACTTTCTAAGGCTTTTGAACTCATTATCACTGTTAATAATGCTGTTAATAGCATCTTTAATTGCTTTAGTAATAACTTCAGAATTGCCAATAAATTGGCCAAGCTTCCCACTGAGCTCAGCAAGAGACACCATCCTGGAGTGGACGTCCTTCAACGCACCGTCCCTTTTGGACGGATTGCTGTGCACTTCACTTTGGTGGCTGCTTAAGTCAGATTGAAGTTTATTAAGCTTATTTTCATTAGGGTTGTTAGAATTTTTAAGCTTCTTAATTTGGCTAGTCAAGTGATCACAGTAGTTAAGAGGCTGACCAGAGGAGGCCGACGAAGGAGGCCAACGAGGGAGGAAAAAAAGGTGAGAGAAGAAAGTGGAAAGAAAGTTGAAAGGCAATTAGAGGAGGTGAAGTGGGACACTTTTGGACACTTTTAGAATTTTTTGAGAAAGGCGATTTTAGGTCACGGAGGCAGCGAGGCAGCGAGGGAGGTGGGTGGACAGGGTGAGGGAGGTGAGGGGGCGAAAGAGGGCGATGAAGGAGGAAGATGGGTGGAGAGGAGGCGATTATAGAGGTGGAGGAGGAAAATGGAAAATGAGGATTTGGGTGAAGGACGCCGACGGAGGAGGTGATGGAGGAGGAGGGAGGAGGGAGCGAAGCGACCAGTGGAAGAGGAGGTGAGTGAGTGAGTGAGTGAGTATGTGAGTGAGTGGGTGAGTGATTAGGTGAGTGGGTGGTTGAGTGATTAGGTGAGTAGTTGAGTGAGTGGTTGAGTGGTTGAGTGGGTGGTTGAGTGGGTGAGTATGTGAGTGGGTGAGGGGGTGGTTGAGTGGTTGAGTGGTTGAGTGAGTGGGTGAGTGGATGGTTGAGTGGGTGAGTGATACACAGATCACACGTGAAGGCACGATTATGGTGAGAAGTACTTGACGTTGGCGAGTGCCTTGACGCGTGCGGCGGCGAGGAGGGACTGCGCGGCGATGCGGTGGCTTGAGGGTGATCGCAGGTGGGAGCGGATGCGCAGGACGTCGAGGCGGACGACGGCGATGTGCAGCAGGTACAGGAGCGACAGCGACCAGAGGGCTAATAAGAGGTATGAGAAGGGTGTACGAATGGCCCAGATGAACTCATCGATTTCGTCGAATAAATCTTTGAAATACCCTTTGTACAGCACTCTTGTTAACTGCTTCACAAAATTGTCACATGTTTTTAGGCTTCCGGATTCCATTAACTCTTTCGGCATTCCGAATGTGAAACCGTACTGGTAGAATACGGACATAGGTCCTTTGCACTGGACTATTGAATTGCAGTGGCAACTGGGCGTCGGGACTTTTGTAGTTTGCGATGTTTCTTCCTCAGTGACGCCGTGTTTACCAAAACCGCATTTACATGAACAACCATATGATTGACATGATACGTTATTGAACGCCTTGAGCAACTGATCAAGCAAATCCCAGAATGTCCATGCCAACTGGCAAAGCCATGACAGATACAAAGCCTTGTGTTTCGCAGGATACGTGTGACAGGCGTCGTGGCACAGCGATTTGAGGTAAGGGGCGCAGGTGGAATTAGGAGAACATTGTTTTGATTTATCATTCGATGGGTTCGGCGATACAGTGTGTAGTCCACGATGATTATCGTCCGTTATGACGCCGTTATGCTCGTTGTCAGAGCAATACAATGTATTCAACGCATGGGTCAGCTTGGAAGCACTGTATTTGTTGTGAAGCCACATATCATTTTTGAACGGGAAACTTAGATGAATGGCATCGTCAATTTCACCCTTATATTTCACTTCGTGACCATACACTGAACCATACGATTTCTGCATAACGTTACAGTAGTACGAGAACATCTCTGCCAAGCCCTTCGGTGGAGAGGGCGATATGCATTGTAATGCGTGCACTAATTCACACAGAACTGAACCGCCATTTTTACAAAGCGTAGAAAGCACATCAACGAGGTCATCGCCACGGCCTGTAATAGAGCCCGCAGTGGCCAAATCTGCGAAGCCCATTGGGGTAATACATTGACCAACAAGTGAGCCCTTAGGGCACGTTGAGCACATGGCCTGGCAACCGACAGCTGTGAACTTATGCGGCATGAAACCAGGAAGCCCGTCCATAAGATGGGCCTGAAGCGGGGACTTTGGTAAGCACGTTGGTTGGTCATTTGGTTCACTATTTGGTTGGCACTTAGCTTGACTCTTTGGTTGTGTGTTTGAGTTGTCGCTAAGCTCATCGCAACTCCACTGGTAACTGCCGACGCGATAGCCATACTGACACTCACGCCACCCGTTGCCGTCGGCTGCTGTGTACCTACATTGTTGGTATAAGAAACAAAGTGCACGCAACAAACGAGTACACATATCTTTCAACATGCCAAGCAACGACGACGGATCACCGGGGTAGTAGAACCCTCCGTGGTTGTTCTCAAAGCAGCACGCATATGGATACGCAGCGTGGCTTGCGCCACTGCCGTGGCCCTGGATGGAGACTAATAATCTATGTGACAAGTGACATGTTTTTTTAATGGTACCGTATAGGTGTTGCAAGGATCTCTTCATGACTTTATCGGCCTGATTGGGGAATGCACCGGTCGCTTCGTCTTCCTGGTTAAGTATTTTTTGGCAGTGGCCATCAATTGTTTTATAAACTGCAGTGTGAGGAAGGCCGGAAAGCCATACACAGATATCACGCACGGAACACGGATGCTTTTTGGACTTCGGGAGTCCGAGGTGGCAAGATTGGTAATACTCACTGACGTGAGATGTGAGACATTTAAGTAGGTCTATGATATTTACGTCATCTGTAATTTCTTTAAATGATGGGCATTTAACGAGATGAGCAATTTTGTTGACATCTTGCAGCGAAGCAACAAGTTTCCCGAAAACGTCTCCCCCCCTCATCTCTTGATGACATCTCAGCTCTCCTTCATAGGGCTCTTCCAACTTGGACACCCTGTAGCCGCAGTCCCTGAAAAATGCGCCGAGGGGATTATAGACGCTTGGCTTGGATATGAGGGAAATTTTGTTTTCCCTGCAATCACCTTTCTTCTTGTCGCATCTCTCATGAAGCTCACGTAAATCGTGAGTCAATGTCTTGAGGATGGTGACGAGAATTTGGGCGCAATTTGTCTTTTCCGGCTCTTGCAGAGAATTCCATTCTTTGCCCGAGTACCTGCTGACGTACTGCTTGCGTAGCTCCTCGTGGAGGTCCGTGACGCCTTGCTTTATGACGTTGAGCAGGGGAGAGGCTTCGGCGAATTTCGTTGGAGTGAAGTTGTGCAGTGCTTTTTGAAGTGCGTCGATTTTTTCGGAGACGGAGTGGTGGAAGTGTTTTTTGTCAAACATGGTGTCAAGTAGACTGTCGAGAGATGAAGTGACTGACGTAATTCTCTCTTCGTAAGAGAGCAAATCAGATTGCTCTTTAAGAGCTCCAAAAAACTCTTTCCAGAAGTTTTGTACATTTACAGCGAATAAACGAAGTTCATTGCCAGAGGGATACAGTTCATGTATCTCAAACGTATCTTGCAGCTTGTTCATCAGGCCTTTCAGGCCTGTGTCTGAATCCTTTTGGATAATGTCAGCAATTTGGGGGACCTGGGCACTCACGGAAGTATATAACGCCTTCAATTCAGCCTTCTTTTGGGAATCGAACATATTTTCTACGCTATCTTCTAGGTCGTTGAGGGCCCGATTCACAAACCCCTGCAGGTTTATTTTCAACTCTTGCAATTTTCCATTCGCAGTCTGGCGAGCGGTTTGTAAGGCTGCTTCTACGGCCTTAATCGCCGATTCCAGGGCTTCGCCGGCTAATCTAATTGGTTCATTTATTGCTTTGATACTGTCTAGAATGCCATCAATTCTAGATTTCAAGTCGTCCATTACATAACCGGCAGTCTGTTGGTTTTGTTGGACAGTGCTGGGAACATTTTTTAGAGCGCCAAGTTCTTCATGAATTTTTTGAACTGCTCCGTCAAGAGATTTTCTTGATTCCTCGAACTGCGTCATCATTGCTGCCACGTCAATTTTTGTTTGATCAGTGGTCATCTGGAATTTTGCAAGCGCCTCCTTAATTGCTCTCTCGGCTGCCTCCTTGATCTGTGCTTTAGCGACAGTGTTAAAGGCGTTAACCGCGCCCACAATACCATAACCATTGATGTCGCTACTAGCGCCAATGGCAGTCGTTAACTTTGTGATCAGCTTAGCGAGAGAGCCTTCGTCGGGATTGGTGGATCCCCCCTTCCCGTAAAAGCCCTCTCTCAAGGGTTGGAACTTCTGTGCAAGTTTTTGGATGCTTGCCTGAAATTCGTCATTCTGAGCCCGCAACTTCTCTGCCTCCTGAGTAATCGGCTGGATAGTATTCTGATTCAGCGTATTCTTAGCCTCCTCGAGCTTATTAAGCGCACCTTTTACGAGAACATTCTCAGTAGAAGGGCTGTGCACATCATCGTCAAGGCGCTCAACTTCATCTCTCAACCTATCCAAATCCGCCAGCACATCGGCTTCCAGGCCTCTCACTTTACTCTCAACTTCTCCAAACTGCGTCCACAACTCCGACTTGCTACTGCCGTCGCCGGCGGTACCGTCATTTGAAAACGCCTCAACTGCTTCTTTTATGCCAGTGAACTTATTAGTAATTAATGTCTTGTAATCCTTATCAAAAGTGCTGTTCTTCTCACCAACCAACGTATCCGCCAGCTTCTCAGCCGTTGACACGGCCTCAGTAATTTTCCTAATCTGCGTATTTTTTTCCTGTCTTATACTGCTGATTTTTTGACGTAAATCCTCAAATTGTCTACTCAATTTGCTCTGCACATCGCCGATTTTAGCCGCAATATGACTGTTCACTTCTCTGCGTTGCGTAGCAAACTTGCCGTCAAGCTCATCCACGAACCTCATAACATCATCATTGTTCACTGATTTCCAAAAATTGCTAACGACAGATTTAACTAAATCAATTTTGTCCGCTATTTTACTTCTCAGATTTCCATCAATTCCTTCCAACGCGCTCTCTGCTTTCTCAGCATCTTGGAGATACAAGCCGGAAAAGCCTCGCCAGTTGTCCAACTGCTCTGTAATAGGATCGTCAGTGATATTGACAGACATATGACTCTCAACCATATTATTAAGAGCGTTTAAAGGCCTTGTAACTTCTATGTTGGATAATGTGACACCCCTCACCCACTGCTTAATCCCATCGCTCACAACGCGAATACTACTATCAAAATTTTTTCTATTATAGAGAGCTTCAGTAATTTTTTGAAGTGGCACAGTTAAAGGAGTATTATATTTTTGAAGATTATCATTTGTATGAACTTCATTTAAAACTCCATGCAAGAACGCCATCACCCCGTCGCAGAGCCTGTCGAGGTCCGAGTACACGATGCCATCGCCCGAGTAGCCTTTGGAATCTTTATTGTAACCTAGAAACTTTTCTAAACCTTCAGTGAGATTTTTAAGAATTTCTGTTGCAGGATTTTCAGATTCTGTTTTACCAATAAATTTTTCAAGATTTTCTTTAAGCTTCTCAAGAGACTCCTGCCTCTCCTCAATGTCCTTCAACGCTCTTCCTCTGGCGTCCTCACTAAGGTAATGCACTTCATTGTAATGCTTTTCTTTCTCGGATTTAAGCTTAGATAATTCAGATTCATTTTTAGATTTGTTGGATTCATCAGATTCATTTTGAAGTTCGTTAATTTTATCCTGCTTAGTGTGACAATACGAGGACGTTCGGTCGGAATAGTATTTTTTAGGGCATTCAAGTTGAGCACGTCTCTTTTCAAGACTACTAGTAGCATCATCAATAGCTTTTTGAATCAACCTTTTCAAAGCTTCAGCTAAGTTCTTAAGACCATTGCCATCACCCCCATGCCTAACCTGGATCAACCAGTCGATGGAGGCCGACGAAGGAGGCCAAGAAGAGAGGGCAATTAAGGTGAGAGAAGAAAGTAAAAAAAAGAAGTGAAAGGCGATTAGAGGAGGTGAAATGGGACACTTTTGGAGAATCTTAGAATTTTTTGAGAAAGGCGATTTTAGGTCAAGGAGGCAGTGAGGGAGGTGGGTGGACAGGGTGAGGGAAGTGAAGGGGCGAGAGAGGGCGATGAAGGGGGAAGATGGGTGGAGGGAAGGCGATTTTAGGGGTGGAGGGAGGAAGTGGAAAATGAGGGTTTGGGGGAGGACGCCGAAGGAGGAGGTGATGGAAGGGTGAGGGGAGGGAGCGGAGCGACCAGTGGAAGAGGGAGGTGAGTTGGTGAGTGAGTGGGTGAGTGGTTGGGTGGTTGAGTGAGTGGGTGAGTATGTGAGTGAGTATGTGAGTGAGTGGTTGAGTGAGTGGGTGGTTGAGTGATTAGGTGGGTGAGTGAGAGGGTGGTTGAGTGGGTGGTTGAGTGGGTGAGTGGTTGAGTGGTTGAGTGAGTAGGTGGGTGAGTGGTTGAGTGAGTGGGTGAGTATGGGAGTGGGTGGTTGAGTGGGTGGTTGAGTGGTTGAGTGGGTGAGTATGGGAGTGGGTGGTTGAGTGGGTGGGTGAGTGGTTGAGTGGTTGAGTGAGTGGGTGGTTGAGTGGTTGAGTGGTTGAGTGGGTGGGTGGTTGAGTGGTTGAGTGAGTGAGTGGTTGAGTGAGTGAGTGGTTGAGTGGGTGAGAGGGTGAGTGGTTGAGTGGTTGAGTGGTTGAGTGGGTGGGTGAGTGGTTGAGTGGTTGAGTGGGTGGTTGAGTGGTTGAGTGGTTGAGTGGGTGGTTGAGTGGTTGAGTGGTTGAGTGAGTGGGTGGTTGAGTGGTTGAGTGGTTGAGTGGGTGAGTGGTTGAGTGAGTGGGTGAGTGGTTGAGTGGTTGAGTGGTTGAGTGGGTGAGTGGTTGAGTGGGTGAGTGGGTGAGTATGTGAGTATGTGGGTGAGTGGTTGAGTGAGTGGGTAAGTGAGTGGGTGAATTGGTGAGTGGTTGAGTGATTAGGTGGTTGAGTGGGTGGGTGAGTGGGTATGTGATTAGGTGAGTGGGTGAGTGGGTGAGTGGGTGAGTGGGTGAGTGGGTGAGTGGGTGAGTGAGTGGTTGAGTGGGTGAGTGAGTGGTTGAGTGGGTGGGTGAGTGAGTGGGTGGGTGAGTGGGTGGGTGAGTGATTGAGTGGGTGGGTGGTTGAGTGAGTGGGTGGGTGAAGGCACGATTAAGGTGAGAAGTACTTGACGTTGGCGAGTGCCTTGACGCGTGCGGCGGCGAGGAGGGACTGCGCGGCGATGCGGTGGCTTGCGTGTGATTTCAGGTGTGAGCGTATCCTCAGGACGTCGAGGCGGACGACGGCGATGTGCAGCAGGTACAGGAGCGAGAGCGACCAGAGGGCTAATAAGAGGAAAGTGAAGAAGTTGAGAAATGTTGAAGGATTATTTTAGGCGCATTTTCAGGGTGATTTGGAGGAGTTTGGGGAAAGGCGATTTTAGGTCAAGGAGGCAGCGAGGGAGGTGGGTGGACAGGGTGAGGGAAGGCGATGGAGGAGAGAGAGGGCGATGGAGGAGGAAGATGGGTTGGGATAAGGCGGTTTTAGGGGTGGAGGGGGAAGGTGGAAAATGAGGATTTTGGGTGAAGGACGCCGACGGAGGAGGGGAGGGAGGAAGGTGGCAGGGAGCGAAGCGACCAGTGAAGGAGGGAGATGAGTGAGTGGTTGAGTGATTGAGTGGGTGAGTGGGTGAGTGGTTGAGTGGGTGAGTGGTTGAGTGGGTGATAAGGTGGGTGGGTGAGTGAGTGGTTGAGTGTGTGGGTGGTTGAGTGTGTGGGTGGTTGAGTGTGTGGGTGGTTGAGTGTGTGGGTGAGTTGGTGAGTGAGTGGTTGAGTGATTAGGTGAGTGGTTGAGTGATTAGGTGAGTGGGTGAGTGAGTGGTTGAGTGGGTGGGTGGTTGAGTGTGTGGGTGAGTGAGTGTGTGGGTGGTTGAGTGGGTGGGTGATACACAGATCACACGTGAAGGTACGATTATGGTGAGAAGTACTTGACGTTGGCAATTTTCCCAACCTTTGCAACGGCGAGGAGGGACTGCGCGGCGATGCGGTGGCTTGAGGGTGATCTCAGGTGCGAGCGTATCCTCAGCACGTCGAGGCGGACGACGGTGATGTGCAGCAGGTACAGGAGCGACAGCGACCAGAGGGCTAACAAGAGGTATGAGAAGGGTTGTCTTATCGTCCATATGTATTCGGGTATTGTTTCATGTATCAACTTGGCGATGAGTGATTTTCCGCCGCATACTTTTTTCAGTTGCTCGATGAAATCTCCACATGTTCGTTTCAAGTGTTTTCCGAGTCGACCTCCGATTTTTGTATTATTGCCAAATACTATCCCTTCTGTGTAAAATGCAGGAAGTGTGTGAGGGCATTGAGTTATTGACTTACATGTCGATGAATGCGTCGCTGATTTTGCATTTCGGCAGTCATTTGCGCATCCATCAGCACGGCACTTCGATGTATTCTTGCCGCAAGTTTCTTCGCATTTTGTCAGCAACCTACAAAGGTAATTGTAAAACGCTTCAGTGAGATATACAATCCACGAAAGGTATTTGTCGGCGTGTTCCTGAGAATATATACAACGGCTATGTAAGCTGACTGGGTGTATGTATGAACCGCAGGGAGAGACTGGGGATGATTTCTCATTGCAATTTATTATCGAAGAAATATCACCATGTGGATGGTTGTCATCCCTATGTGTAGCGCTGTCGCATATTGATTCAGGGTTAAGCTGTTTGTAGCTGTTACCGAAATAAGCATTATCAACAGCTGTTTGAAATGCGTCCTTTCTGTGTGGACCACTGTTACTCCATCCACTCAGGAAACTGTAGTAGAACGCAAGCATCTCGTCAAGGGTCTGCGGTGGTTTCTGTAATAAACATGTCAGATAACCGCAGAGCTTTGTAAGGGGTTTGTCCGGGTTGCTGCAAAAGCCCGCCAAGGCCTTCATCAGGTGCTGGCCTCTCATTGTATGCGACGCAACAGTGCTAATGTTTCTAAAGCCCATTGGCGTCTTACATGGGATGCCACGATGGTTGGCAACTGAGCAACTCATTTTGCAATCAGGCTTTTTGAACGGATGAGGAAGGAATCCCTGGAGCCCATCTTCCAAAAACGATTGGAGCGGCGACTTAAGGCCGCACCTAGGGTGTTGCCTGCAGTTTTGCTTAACTATTTGCTTACACTTTTGGTTGGCACACTGCTCATCATTACAGTTCCAAGCGGAGCCACCGACACCGTTACCGTAATGGCAGTCCAGCCAACCGCTACTGCTATTGCCGTTACAGCACTGATAATATAGGAAGTAAAGTTGGTGATGGAGTCTCGAACATATTTCTACGAGCCAGTCGAAACAGGTGGCGGGACTGGTGGGATACGAAAGGTCGTCTGGGTTGGTGTTGTAATCGCATCCATATCGGCCTTCGGCGTTGCCATAGCCTACGATTGCGCTTAATACTTTTTCGGCGTGGCGACAGGTTAAGGTGAGTGCGCCGATTAATTTGCTAGGTGAAAGCATGTAACTTGGCAATTTGCGTTGTATTTCGTCTGGCACTGACACTTCCAATGCATCTTTGTTCTCACCAAACAATGTAACAAAATAATTATTAACTTTTGTTTGCATCGGATTATACCGGAACCCGCACAGCCATTGGAGCATATGGTAAACAGTGTTCGGTGCTTTGGCAGCGGGTATATGGCGGACCTGGGTAACGCGGTAGAAGTTGCGGAGTAACTCGCGGAAGTATTCAAGCAGGTCCATAACTTTTACATTGCTATCATAATCTATATCGTTAATTTTGATGATAGTATTTAAAAGGCTAAGTTGTGTCTCAAGCTTGCCAGAAATTGCTGAACCGCTCATGTTAGATTTATTTACCAGTTCCGATGTGCAAATATTAGGATCTGTTGAAACGCCAAATCCACATCTTTTCAGAAAATCGCCGAGGGGATTGGTATCTGTTTGTGTATGCCCTTTGGCACTGAAAGTTAACTGACTGCTTAAATCGATTTTTCTATGTTCCCACTTCCCTCCGGTTCTACAATTATCACCCAGCTGAGACAATTCGTCGTAGAGTGGGTTAATGATTGTGCAAAATACCTTGGCGCATTTTGTTGCGCCATTGCTGAGCACACCATCCGATACCATGAAATCAGGAAGCTTAGGCTTATGCTCCCACTCGACTGTCTGCTCAGAGTATGCACTGACGTAAGCGTACTCCAGCTGCTTGACCAGGGCCGTCATACTGTCTTTGATGATATCAAAGATAAGCGGATTTTTGCCATTTTCAAATTTAGACGGGTTAAATGCGCTAAGTGATTTATTAAGTGAGTCTAAATTTTTAGAAAAAGTGTGGTCGAAATGTTTTGAGGTTTTTAGGCCATTGACCAGAACCAGAAGAGCGTCAGCCGGTGGTTGGACCTTAGAATAGTCGGAGATGAAATCTGATTGTTTTTGCAAAAGTGCAAAAAAACCCTCAAGGGATTCTCTTGCAACATCTGCTATGTCTTCCAATTTAGTTTGTATGTCTTTGCTCGGAACACCTGGAATAGGCATGGGAAAAGCATCACTTATTGTATCAACAAAATATGTCTTCATTTTCCCCAAGAAACCCTTCACCCCTGTCGTTTTATCCTTCTCAATAATGCTTGTAATCTCCGCCAACTGCGCCGTGACGACGGTCTGCAGCTGCGTGAGCTCGGCCTGCTTCTGCTTCGCGAAGAGGGAGTGGACTTGGTGGGTGAGGGTGGAGAAGGATTGTTGGACGTTCAATGTTAAGTCGTCTCGGAGTTTTGTGATGGCCTTTTTAGCCGAATCTGTTGCTTCGTGAAAAGCGCCATCTAGTAGATCAATTTTTTGAGTCAACTGTTTTTCTACGGTGTCAACGATGGAGGATGCCAAAGCAATCTTTTCACGAAGTGTCGTGAAGTATTCCTCCAACTGCTGCATAGACTTGTCAACTACTTGCTGGGCCTTCACAACCTGCTCAGGTACGGGTTCCAACTTGCCAACAGTCTCAAGCGCGGTTCCGATGGCTTGTTGGATTCTTCCGGGTTCAGTAATTTCACAGGTGTACAATTCCTTAAGCTGTTTGTGCACATCGCCTAGGCTCTCGGAAGGAGGAGTGGAGCCATGAACGGATTCGTCGTACTTACCAATCTTCTGTGTTTCAAAGGAAGTCAACACATTTTTGAGACCATCTGCTGTGTCCTTTCCTGCAGCTTGCTTAATAACTTGAGTAATTTGAGTGAAAGGCGTAGTGATTCCTGTATCGAATTCTTCCATAAATGTTTTATCTTGAGTGAAATCGCCACCAAACTGCTTGACACTATGAATTAAACTGCTAAGTTGACTGTAAGCTTCTCTGATATTATGAAAGCTGCTGCTCCGATTGCTTCCGTGAGTGCGTCCGGTAAGTAGTTGAAGCTTTTCATATAGTGGCTGAGCAAACTGTGAAGCACTATGCAAAGCTGTATGCACTGGCTTAGTAATGTTTTGCAAATTACGAAAATCGGAAGTGATACTTACATTGCTAAAACTAGGCATACCATTTTTAATTTCCGTGATTAAGGTGTCTATGGATGCCTGAAGAACCGTCTTGACGGCACTAGTGATATTTGATAACATTTGTTGATGTTGAGGAAGTTGATTGGGAGCAATAGATGAGTACCCTCCCTGAAGAATTGTATCAACTTGCTGAGTCTGCTGGAGCTGAGATAATGATGAATCTACTTGCACCGATCTAAACGATTGGGAATTTCTTTGGACAAATTGTTTAACCACCTCGTCAATATTGTGCACAATGCTGATGATATTCTGCGCTGCTTGTGTCCAAGCCCATATGATACGTACGTCGGCGTGACCCGTGGCGCTACGACTCAGCGTATTCAAGCCTTGCGAAACCAGCAATCTGCATTGCTCTTCTGCTTCCATAAAATTCTCATCAACTACTTTCAAAACTTCAGTGCCCAAATTCTCCAGCGCATACATAGCCTGGTATGCGTAGCACTTAAGTTCTTCTTGTTTTAATTTAATAAAATGCTGTTGAGTTGAACCTTTTAACTTATGGACTGCACCCTCGATCGCAATCTTATTCAATGCTTTCTCGCCATCAACTTGCTCCAATATCTTTTCCACCTTCGTCAAGGCTTCATGCATGGTCTTCTCCGCCGCACTAATCCAATTGTGCAATTTCTGCGATTTTCCTGACAAATCATTCCCCACTGCAACAACAGCCGAACTTATCTTGTTCATTTCCTCTCTCAGTTGGGGTGGTTTTTTCTTAGAGGAATCGAGTGCATCCAGTTTGGTTTTAATTTCTGCAAACATATGATTGATCGGTGTTTTGTAGTGATTATCAAAATCTTGTACATACCCATCCACCAAGGTTTTAGCGGATGAAACGGCGTACTTAACATTATTAATTTGCTCTGTCTTAACGTTTGAGAGGCTCTCAATGCTATTTTGAACGTTCTCGTAGCCCCTATCTATGGTGTTGTGAACCACAGATATACCACTATTTAATGCTATTGTGATATTGTTTTTCTGCTGTAGGAGCTCTCTGTCCATAGCCGCTGCCGCCTTGCCTACTTCACCGTCTTCCGCGCTCCTCTTGAATCCGTCCGCCGCCTGCACAACCAATGAAACATGCTTATCTAACTTACCTTTAAGCGTCTCGTCCAATAATTTTCTCGCCTCTTCCGCCAACGAAGCCTTCACCCAGTAGAGTCTTGCATATTTTTGTACCTCTTGCAATTGAACCTGCAAATTTTTAGTATTAACATTGTCTAAATACTCTCTTAAAATTGTGAAATTGCTCTGTATGGCTGTCACATCATCTACAACCTTCTTACTTTTATCACGCATCCCCCCCTCATACTCCCGCAGCCCCTGACGCACACTTTCAATGGCCTGCGCAAATCCCTGAACACCATGGCCCTTACCTATTTTACCTTCCAAGTCACTAATTGTTGTAGTAATGTCTCTATAATAATGCTTTAACAAAGGTTCACTGCCTTGAAGACATTGGAGGAGAAAGGACATCACCCCGTCGCAGAGCCTGTCAAGGTCCGAGTACACAATTCCCTCTCCGGTGTAATTACCATTCTCGTAGCCGAGAAAATTTTCGAGGCCTGTGCAGAGGTTATTTAATAATGTTGTTGAAGGATTATTTTAGGCACATTTTAAGGGCGATTTGGGGGAATTTGGGAAAAGGTAAAATTAGGTCAAGGAGGCAGAGGGGAAGTGAAGGAGGTGGGTGGACAGGGTGAGGGAGGTGAAGGGGCGAAAGAGGGCGATGAAGGGGAAAGATGGGTTGGGAAAAGGCGGTTTCGGAGGTGGAGGGAGGAAGTGGAAAATGAGGGTTTGGGTGAAGGACGCCGACGGAGGAGGTGATGGAAGGGTGAGGGGAGGGAGCGGAGCGACCAGTGGAAGAGGGAGGTGAGTTGGTGAGTGAGTGGGTGAGTGGTTGGGTGGTTGAGTGAGTGGGTGAGTGAGTGGGTGGTTGAGTGGTTGAGTGATTAGGTGGTTGAGTGGTTGAGTGAGTGAGTGGGTGAGTGGTTGGGTGGTTGAGTGAGTGGGTGGTTGAGTGAGTGGTTGAGTGGGTGAGTCGGTGGTTGAGTGGTTGAGTGAGTGGTTGAGTGGGTGAGTGGTTGGTTGAGTGTTTAGGTGGGTGAGTGAGTTGGTGGTTGAGTGAGTGAGTTGGTGAGTGAGTGGGTGGTTGAGTGAGTGGGTGGTTGAGTGGGTGAGTGGTTGAGTGGGTGAGTGTGTGAGTGGTTGAGTGAGTGGTTGAGTGGGTGGTTGAGTGGGTGATTAGGTGAGTGGGTGAGTGGGTGATTAGGTGAGTGGGTGATTAGGTGAGTGGGTGAGTGGGTGAGTGGTTGAGTGAGTATGTGAGTAGGTGAGTGGGTGAGTGGGTGAGTGGGTGGTGAGTGGGTGGTTGAATGGGTGAGTGGTTGAGTGGTTGAGTGGGTGAGTGAGTGAGTGGGTGAGTGAGTTGGTGGTTGAGTGAGTGAGTTGGTGAGTGGGTGAGTGGTTGAGTGGGTGGTTGAGTGGGTGGGTGATTAGGTGAGTGGGTGGTTGAGTGAGTGGTTGAGTGAGTGAGTGGTTGAGTATGTGAGTGGGTGATTAGGTGAGTGGTTGAGTGGGTGGTTGAGTGAGTGGTTGAGTGGGTGAGTCGGTGGTTGAGTGGTTGAGTGAGTGGTTGAGTGGGTGAGTGGTTGGTTGAGTGTTTAGGTGGGTGAGTGAGTTGGTGGTTGAGTGAGTGAGTTGGTGAGTGAGTGGGTGGTTGAGTGAGTGGGTGGTTGAGTGGGTGAGTGGTTGAGTGGGTGAGTGTGTGAGTGGTTGAGTGAGTGGTTGAGTGGGTGGTTGAGTGGGTGATTAGGTGAGTGGGTGAGTGGGTGATTAGGTGAGTGGGTGATTAGGTGAGTGGGTGAGTGGGTGAGTGGTTGAGTGAGTATGTGAGTAGGTGAGTGGGTGAGTGGGTGAGTGGGTGGTGAGTGGGTGGTTGAATGGGTGAGTGGTTGAGTGGTTGAGTGGGTGAGTGAGTGAGTGGGTGAGTGAGTTGGTGGTTGAGTGAGTGAGTTGGTGAGTGGGTGAGTGGTTGAGTGGGTGGTTGAGTGGGTGGGTGATTAGGTGAGTGGGTGGTTGAGTGGGTGAGTGGTTGAGTGGTTGAGTGGGTGAGTGAGTGGTTGAGTGGGTGAGTGGGTGAGTGATACACAGATGACACGTGAAGGCACGATTATGGTGAGAAGTACTTGACGTTGGCGAGTGCCTTGACGCGTGCGGCGGCGAGGAGGGACTGTGCGGCGATGCGGTGGCTTGAGGGCGATCTCAGGTGGGAGCGTATCCTCAGGACGTCGAGGCGGACGACGGCGATGTGCAGCAGGTACAGGAGCGACAGCGACCAGAGGGCTAATAAGGTGAGGGAGAAATTCTCTCTTATCTTCCAGATGAACTCATCGATCTGCTTAATTAATTTAATTAGTGCAGATTCTTCTTCAAGAATTCTTTTCAATGCGCTGCAGAAATCCTTGCACGTTCTTCGATTAACTGTTAGATTATCTTTGCCGCATAATCCCAATGGCTTCCCGAAACTGAAGCCGTACATATATAACGTGGGGAGTGCGTTTTGGCATCTGACAATGGAACTGCAATTTTCAGTGTGATTTTTGCCGTCGAGTCTCTTGGTGTCTGGTTTTGCATCATCAGAGTTTTGAGCATCATATGCCTGTTTTACTTGGCATTCCTTAGCGCATCTTGTGCCATGACATTTTGCTCCCGGAGACGTGCAGTTATTACAGCACTGCTTATATAATCTGTCCAGCAAATTATACAAGGTCTCAGCCGAGTACAGGAACCATGACAGATATTGTTTTTTATGGCACGATGAGAAAATGCTATACGTGCTGGATGATAGTGATTCGACGTAGAGACCACAAGTGTCCTTCGAGTCAGATTGACATGTCGATATGCTGAGCAGATCACCTTTGGAATGCGTGTTTCTGGGATCGGCGTGATTGCTGGTGTTGAAAATACTAGTTGGGTCAAAGGGATATTCCTTGCCGAAATACGCATCTCTGACGGCGGCATTAAATGCAAATATTTTATGATCTCTACCATGGTCAATCCAGTTTGCCAGGTAACCACGGAAGAAACCGAAAATATCGTCAAGCGTCTGAGGCGCTCGGCGGAGTACGCAGTTCAGCATGTTACAGAGTTTACTTAGGTGAGACTTTGGACCACAGAAATTGTAAAGCACACGCTCAAGATATGCACCTGTTTTAGTATGCGAAGCAACGACACCGATATCGGCAAAGCCCATTGGCGTCTTACAGGGCAGTCCTCTGTGATTGGACACGGTACACGTTAACTTGCAGCCGGGACTGCTAAACGAATGAGGCAAGAAACCTTGCAATCCGTCTTCCAAAAAGGACTGCAATGGTGATTTCATACCACAATCGGGGTGTTGGTCACAGCGTTGGTCAGCTGTTTGGGTAGCACTTAGGTCAGCCGTTTGGTTCCCCTTTTGGTTAGGTCTTAGCTTGCACTCTAGGTTAGCACACTGTTCACTGTTGCATTGCCAACCTGAGCCAGCCACGTGCCTGCCGTACGAGCACTCACGCCACCCGCTGTGACTTTTGCCACCGAGGCACTGCCTACACAGGAACCACAGTTGCTGGTACAGTCTAAATAACACATCTACTAACATGTCTAAGCACGCACCACCGCTACCAGGATACAGTAAATTACTTGAGTTAGTGAGGTGATCGGAGGCATACACACCGTCAGCGTGGCCGTGGCCGAGTATTGCAACTAATGTTCTTTCGGAGTATATGCAAACTTGTTCCAGTGCGTTGGTCAATTTTGTGGCGTCAAGTGGTGATTGAATTACGCGTTGCATATCGTGTGATACGGCGACTGGTAATTCTGTCTTCTCCAATTTATGCTCTTTTTGTAGGCCCTTAAGCACATTGCCAAGCTGGCTTTTAACCTCACCGTACATGTGGTTGTACTTAAGGCCGGCGGTCCATTGGAGCATGAGATAGATGTTGGACGGGGCTCTGGGCTTTGGTGGGATGTAGTAGTGGCAGACGCTGCGGTACCTTTCGAGCACAGGGTGAAGCAGATAAAGAATGTGGAGGACATTAATCTCGTTGCTTTTAATATTCTTAATTTTAATATGAGTAGCTTTGGTAAGTGGCTTGTTGAGAAGATCACTATTAATTTCCCCACCCGTCATGTCCCTCCTCAGGTGACCATTCTGAATTTTGTCACTATCGGAGACATTGTAGCCGCGGGATTTAAACCAGAGGGCCATCTTATTGCTGTCATCAGGAGTATTAATTTGTTTCTTACTCCAATCACCGCTGCAGTTCCTCTGCAGATCGTACAGATGTGTTACCCAACCAGGCAGACAGGTCATGAAAACCTTAGACAGCTTCTTGCCGTACTCAGTCAATTTGCGTTTATCGTCAGTTACAGCGGGAGTGTCAGGCTCAAGCAATGCACCGTCAAACTTTCTACAGCAGTACGTGCTAACATATGCGTAGCCGAGTTGCTTGGCCAGGGCGCCGATTCCGTCCTTGAGCGCTTGCAGGATGGGACTGGAGGAGTCAGTGAATTTGGCGGGGGTGAATGTAGATAGTGCGTTGTTGAGGGATTTAAGGTTTGTGGAAAAAGTGTGGTCGAAGTGTTGAGCATCTACAAGGCCATCAAGCACGGTGCCAATTGCGTCCGTTAATGGCAAATATGTAGATGACTCAGGGAACACCGCATCAGGCTGTATCAATTCGGCGTAACTTTCAGCACATTCCTTCCTCTGTTCTTCGAACTCCTGAAGAAAATCACCAAACCCTTTATTTAAATCGTAGGCCGCTTGTTTGAGTGGAAATTTATATGTTGTGTCGGATTTTTGAGAGGTGGGCGTTTCCTGAATATCCTTAATTTTTACTAACTCAGGCATACACTTGTCGTTAAATATTTTCATGAATCCTTTTAACCCCGTAACGCTGTCCACATAAATAATTTCATTTATTCTCTCCGTTTCCTTCTCCACCAGCTCCTTGAGCTGCTCGAGCGCGTGGGCCTTAGACTGGGCGAACTGGGAGAGGGCTTGGCGTTTGATTTGGGATTGGGCAATCTCAGCTAGTATTCGAAAGTGTTCTGCAGTAGTTTTGATGTAATACACGGTAACATGTTGTGTGTCACTTAATGCGTCTTCTAGATTTCTGAGACGCTGGGTCATGTTAGCATTTTCTACGACGGTGATGATGTCTTGGAATTCTCGTTGTAGATCTTCAATATGTTTACGCAATATGGCCACATCGTTGGGGATACCTTTCGTCGTATCGGCAAGATGATTAGAAAAGCCTTGAAGAGTTTTAAATATTGCGTTTAGATTTCTAATAGACTTGTCGAGTTCAGTGCTATCTTTGACAAACGTTGACTGCAGTTCGTTGATTTTTTTGCTTACCGCCTCGATAGCCATATCTATTTTCTCCGCAGGGCATTTTTCCTGTTTCCCTTCGGGTAACGGTGGGTCAGACGTCGGTAACTCTAGAGCCTTGTTAAATATGCCTTCCAACGCATCTGCTCTCAGAGTTAATGCCTTTAAGTTTGATTCGACGGTGGGATTTGATACTTTCACAAGCAACGGGTGAACAACTGATTGAACAGATGGTTTAATCGCCTTAAGCTGATCTAGAATCTTCTGAACTAATCCTTTGAAGCTACAATCCTTCACACCAACCATGGTGTTGGAGAGATTTCCAATCGAATCACTCACCCCTTGGACCAACTTTGACACATTTTCTTGAAAAGTGATGAGACTTAAATCGCGCATTTGTTGCCAAGCATTGTTAACCTCTGTTTTGAACCTCTGTTGAATCTGTCCATCTAGACCCTGTACACTCTCGGAATTCATCTGTGCAGCACGCAAAGCCTCCTCTGTAGACTTCTTCAAGCTCTCCAATTCGCGACTTACATAACGACAAACGTTATCAACCTCCATGCTCTTCTTATTAAGCTCAGTAACGTGAGTCTCTACCGTTTTAAACATCTCTCCTACACGATTATCTGCTTCACTGATGATCAGATCAGCGTCTCGAACAATCTCACTCATCTTTTCATCCACCTTCCCACACACCTCCTTAAGCCCCTCGTGATCCTTCTTGGTTGACTCCACGAAAGTCTCCACTCTGTCTTTAATTAGGGAGACGTGTGGAGACAAATCTTTTTGGAGGTTTTGGTCGAGATAGTGAATATCACGGAGTGATTTGAAAAAATATTCTGGAAGCTTCTGAACGGCATCCATCCACCTGAGCAGCGTAGTGTTTTTAACATCATTATATTCTCGTGTCTTTAAGTCTTGAATAACTGTAATTATCTTAGGTAAATATTCCGGCTTTAACAACTCCTCCAACGGCTTTTTCACCGCCTCGCTCTTAGTATTCACATCCCCCAACCACCTCTCAATCCCCAACTTGACGGTGTCAATCACAGCACGCAAACCTGTTTGGCCATTATAACGATGAGTTTCTAAAAGGCTTACAGCTTGAGTTAATTTCTCTTTATAAGGCTCAAGATTATTATTTTCTTTGACATCTTTAAGCAAAGAATGCAAGAACGCCATCACCCCGTCGCACAGCCTGTCAAGGTCCGAGTACACAATCCCTCCTCCGGTGTAATTACCATTCTGGAAGCCGAGAAATATTTCGAGGCCTGTGCAGAGGTTATTTAATAATGTTGATGAAGGATTATTTTAGGCACATTTTCAGGGCGATTTTGGGGAGTTTGAGAAAGGCGATTTTAGGTCAAGGAGGCAGTGAGGGAGGTGGGTGGACAGGGTGAGGGAGGTGAAGGGGCGAAAGAGGGCGACGAAGGAGGAAGATGGGTTGGGATAAGGGGATTTCGGAGGTGAAGGGGGAAAGTGGGAAATGAGGATTTAGGGGAAGGACGCCGACGGAGGAGGTGATGGAGGGGAGAGGAGGGAGCGAAGCGACCAGTGAAGGAGGGAGGTGAGCGGGTGAGTGGTTGGGTGAGTGGGTGGTTGAGTGGGTGAGTGGTGAGTGGGTGGGTGGGTGGTTGAGTGGTTGAGTGAGTGAGTGGGTGGGTGAGTGAGTGGGTGAGTGGTTGAGTGGGTGGCTGAGTGAGTGAGTGGGTGGGTGAGTGAGTGGGTGAGTTGGTGAGTGGTTGAGTGGTTGAGTATGTGAGTGAGTGATACACAGATCACACGTGAAGGCACGATTATGGTGAGAAGTACTTGACGTTGGCGAGTGCCCTGACGCGTGCGGCGGCGAGGAGGGACTGCGCGGCGATGCGGTGCGAGGAGAGCGATCGCAGGTGCGAGCGGATCCTCAAGACGTCGAGGCGGACGACGGAGATGTGCAGCAGGTAGAGCAAAGAGAGCGACCAGAGGGTGAGGAGCGTTATCATGAATGGAATGCGTATTGCAAATAGATACATATCTATTCTGTCAAACAATTTTGTGAAATACTTCGATGCCTTTACCTGATGCAACTGGCTGACGAAATTTGAACATGTTTTTGTTGTTTGTTTTGTTGCATTAAGAGACAAGGCGTCACCAAATGCGAATCCATAGCTGTATAACATAGGTGATGTACTGCTACACTGGACCACAGTTGAGCAGTGACATGGATGTTTTACGTCGCCATGCTTACCGGACGGACAATTACAGGAACTGCATCCAGAGGATTTACAAGACGCACTTTTGAACGCATCGAGTAGGTAGTCAAGTAACTCTTTGAACGTCCAAGCGAGGTGCGAGAACCATGATATATATAGTCTTGCGTGCTTCGCAGAGAAGGTATGGTAGGCGTCGAAACACAAGGGTTTAATATACGGAGCGCATGTATATGATGCTGAGCATTTGCTGCCTGTTGTCAAGCTTTGAATATCGCAGTGTCCACTCTTGTTATCGGACAAGGTGTGATCCTTAGGAGAGTGAGTGAATGCTGTAAGCGTGTTCGTAAGCATTTCCGCTTCGAAGCTTCCGTGAAACGCATTTGGAAACGGCAAACTGGCATTGATGGAACTGTCAATTCTGTGTTTGTATTCAGTATCATGACTGTATCCTTTGCCATTCCACCTCTGCAGCAGACTGCTAAAGAACGATAACATATCGCCCAAGTTGCTAGGCGGTGAAGGCTTCACCGACAATAGGCAACGGAGTAATGATGGTAACGGGGAAGCGGCATTGCCGCAAAAGTCATACAGCACCTTGCATATGTCCTTACCGCGGCCGGTTATAGATGCAGAACTCGACAAATCCCCAAAGCCCATGGGAGTAATACATTGCTGGCCTGGTTTGCTAGTAGGACATGTGGAACATTTAGCTGAACAACCAACGGACATCAATTTATGTGGCAGGCAGCCGGGTAAGCTGTCAGTTAAGTGAGCTTGCAGGGGCGATTTTGGTTGGCACGTTGATTGGCCTTTTGGTGAGCACTTTGGTTTAGTGTTTGGTTGGGCATTTGACTTATGGCTAGATGGATCGCAATTCCAGTAATAACCGGGCACTTGATGGCCGTAGTCACAGTCGGACCAACCGTTACCCTGGGTCACAGTGTATTGGCACTTGTTGTATAGAAAATAGAATGAAGACAACAGACGTTTACATACATCTCTAAGCATGTCTAATAGTTCTGCGGCGTTGCTAGGGTAGTAGAAATTACGCGAGTTGTCACAGTAATTGCAGGCATAAGGATAGTCGGCGTTATCTGCTCCTTGACCGTTGCCGCTTATTGTGATGAGTACGTTGTAAGCACCTTGTGCAGTTAGACGTAAATTGTACGGTAGGTCGGCGTATAGGATGGGTTGCAGGACGGCATCTGTCTTGTACGACTCATCGTTGTTAAGTAGATCATTGCAGTACGTTTTAACATTTTTATACACGGCAGTATATGGAAGCCCACAAATCCAAGCACAGATGTCTCTAATAGTGCAAGGATATGTTTTTGATTTCGGCAGCGTAAGATGGCAGACGTTGAAGTAGATCGTTAGGTGACGGTAAAGTGTGCAAAGAGGCCCCTGCGTATCCTTGATGGAATCAAGGTAGGCGGAAATAGCTATGTGCTTTCCGGTGAGGGAGGTTTGGAAATCAGTGTAATTTGAGAATGCTCTGGTGAGAATGCTTTTTACATCGCCACCTTGGTTGCGTCTGGTAATGAGGCTGGCAGTCTCAAAGCCTTGATCCTCTAAATATTTTCTTAAAGCACCGTTCGCTCTGCCTTGGCCTCTTTGTATGGCGTGAGCTATCCAGTCCGCTGAACACTGGAAGAATAAATAATATAACTCCTCGAAGAGGACGGAAATCGTAGTGAGAATGACGTTGGCGCATTTTTCCTTTTCAGGATTTTTGTCATAATCCCACTCAACAGTGTCACCGTCGTATACCGATATATAGGCTTTATCAAGTTCATCGTGCAAACCTTGAACGCCTTTAGTAAGGATGTGCAACAACGGATTGCGCTCCTCGTCGTACGACGACGGACGGAGTCTGTTTAGTAGCGATTTTAATGCGGTGAGATCCTTTTCAAATTTTGTATTATATTTCGACAGATCGGTAAAAAGTGTGTCAAGTGTTTTTTGTAGCTGCTCGATTTTAGTGGACTTCGTAATAATGTCCTTATTATTGTTCAAAGCATCCAGTATATCTGAGAAGAAATGCTTCAGTTTAAAGGATGTGTCGAGGAGAGCAGAATTTTCATCCAACTGGCTACCTAATGGACTAGATTCCAGCGTCCGACGTAGTAGTTGCATGAAACCTTTGAAGTCCTTATCGGCGTCTTTGGCGATGTCGTTAGTTAGGCTTCCTAATTCATCGCTTATTTTTATAACAAAGGCGTTAAGTTGGGACCTCATAAAACCGACGTATTTTGTTTGAACATCCTGGGTGACGGCGGTTTCTGCTGTTTTGATTTTTAGGCCGACGTGCTCGGAAAGTTCGCGGATCATTTGCTCACTTTTCTCAGAGGCATGGTCAGCCATGTCTTGGGTTTGTTGAATTAGAGGTTGTAAATAATCATTTCGAAGCGTATTAAGATCATCTTTAATCTTTCTCAAACCCATCTGCTGCTCTTGTTTAATGGTACATTCATCTTCATCGATCAATTGTTGCAGTTGAATTAGTTTTTTGTTTAGGCCTTCATCTTCATCATCTCTGGCCGCTGTTAAAATTGTGTTACACAGAGAGTTGAGGTGTCGCACGGCTTCCGAATGTTTGGCTGTCATATTGCCCTTACTTGCCTTGCTTTCTCTAACGGCGTCTGTAATGGGTTGCAGGGCTTGCGCACTAACCGCTTTTATGGCATTGTCAATTGGGCCACTATCATTAACGTGATCTCTGTATGCAAGCATTTTTATTCTTACATCATTACCTTTTTAAAATACGGTGAGATAGCGTTGTCAATGTAGCTCCCGATAACGTCACTGGATAGAGTGTTGTCGAGCTCCTCAATGGGTTCCATCAAGGTAGTCAACGCGTCACGTATCTTCTTCCCATACCCCTCTGTCTTGCCGTCAAATTGCCTCTTGATGTCATCAACTTTGCTCATGGCTTCAGTAACGTTTTTGCCGATTTTGGACATTGAGCTAAATTTGTTAAGTTCCGCGGCAGCCTGCCGAGAGCTGGTGGCGAGAGCTGGGAGGATAGCACGGAGAGCCGATATGAGATAATGATTGCCATAACTGGAATTGGACGCATCGGCATTGAGTTCTTTCTCAATCGACGAGACAACAGCAGAGAGAAACGGATTAGTGCTATAAGTTTTGTTTCTCCGTCCTTAATTTTTGCTTCAAGCGCGTCCGCAAACTTCTCGCAAACACTCTGTACAGTATTGAGATTTTTATCAATCTTTTCACCGCGTGATCCAGCAAAAGTTCTAACGGCGTCGGCGATTTCACTTGTAAGCGCATCTTTAATCGCGTCTTTAATTGGGTTTTGTAACAATGTCGGATCGTTCTTATCTTTATACGTCGGTTTTTGGAAATACGTATTGTTGTCCTTAACAAACTCTCCCAGCCTATATTTTACCACTACATCCTTATCCAATATCTTTCCAACCCACTCTTTTACTACATTTTCAAGTTGACCATTGCCAAACTCCGCAGCATACTCCCCTACTGCGTCGACGATCCCTTGAAGACCTTTATAATTTGAATCGCCTGCCTTACCATAAATGTTACCGACAAGGCTCGTAATTGTCCGTTTGAGATATCCCCAATTATGTTGGATACTTTCTTCACCACCACCAGAAGTCTGATCAAGAGCCTTCTCTTTCAACTGCCTAATCTCTGCTTTCGCCCAGTCAGCATACTTCCCAATTTCCAAATCGATGGCCTTTTTCAATGTCTTCAAATCCTCCTGCACTTTCTGATCCAATCCCTTGACGGCAGTGCTAACATTTTCCATCAATGGGCGTAGCTTAAATGTCGCCAACTCATATGCCTTATACAACGCCAAACCCTTCTCCTTTAATTCGTTAACAGCTTTAAGTAAATTTTGCTTATGCTGCTTCTCCGATGTTCCACTTGCTTCCTTAATGATCTCACTTACTTTCTGCATAGACTTACCCAAAGCTGCATCAGCTTTTTCGATCCACTTTAACAACAGTTCAACATACTTCTTCAATGTGTTATTAACATTCTCTATCCCATGTTTAAGAAGCCCAATCTGCCTATTAACTTCACTAACAAACGCCCTAATTCTCTCCGAGGTTGTCAGATTTATCTGTTCTTTCGCATCATTCAGCTGCTTATGAACCACGCCGGTGAATGATCTCAAATCCTCTTTCTGCCTTGAGTGGATCTTTTTCAATTCCGCAGCCTGATATGCAATTATTGCAGTTTTCATATTGATCTTAGTCTGCAGATCCTTTTGAAGATCCCCAATATTATTTACTTCGTCTTCCATTCCCTGCTTGTACTTCTCAGCCTGCTGGAGACAGTCATAAACCTTCTCATCAATTTGCGGGATATGATTATAATTAGTAAAATTCTCAACGGCTGCAGGAATCTTTTCCATTTGCCCAGTAAACGTCTCAATAACATCACTCACCTTTTTGTTCGACTCCTTCACACCCTCATTATACTCCCTCACCCCCTGGACCACCTTGCCAATCGCTTCATTAAAACCTTCTTTGCCAGAGTTTTTATGAAGCTTAAGAGACTCAATTGCATTTTTTATAGACTCTTTATGTAAGCCTAATTTAGGCTTAATGTTATGTAAAACTCCATGAAGGAAAGACATCACCCCGTCACACAGCCTGTCAAGGTCCGAGTACACGATGCCAGTGCCCGAGTAGCCTTTGGAGTCAGGATTAAAGCCTAAAAACTTTTCTAAACCGCCAGTGAGATTTTCAAGAAGTTGTTTTGCAGGATTATTACTTTTATCATTTTCTTTTCCAATAAAACCTTCAAGCTTACCTTGAAGATCCTTAAGTGTCTTCTGCCTCTCCTCAATATCATCCAACGCTTTTCCCCTGGCATCCTGAGTAAGGTAATGAACGTCATTATAATGGTCAGTGTAGTTGGATTAAAGGTGGATTAAGGGAGGGTTAAAAGAAGTAAGGGGGATGAAATGACACATTTTCAGGGCGATTTGGGGGAATTTGGAGAAAGGCGATTTTAGGTCAAGGAGGCAGCGAGGGAGTGAGGGAGTGGAGTGGACAGGGTGAGGGAGGTGAAGCGGCGAAAGAGGGCGATGAAGGAGGATGATGGGTTGAGGAAAGGGGATTAAGGAGGTGGAGGGGGAAAGTGGAAAACGAGGATTTTGCGTGAAGGACGCCGACGGAGGAGGTGATGGAAGGAGGAGGCAGGGAGCGAAGCGACCAGTGAAGGAGGAGTGATGTAGTGGTTCGTTGAGTCGATGGTCGAGTACGTGGGTGATGGGATGCGCGAGCGGGATCAGGGCGGTCGATGATATGCGAGTGAGCGATGATACCGATGCGCACGATGCGGTCGATGAGTGCGATGGGGCGATCAGTGTCGATGATGGCAAGCGTGATGGTTGATGATGCGACAATGCGAGTGGGCGGGCGATGCGGGCAGCGATGAGCCGGCGATGGGCGGTCGATGGCCGATGAGTCGATCGATTGCGATGGCCGATGGGCGATGCGTGAGTGGCGAGCATACGCGAGTGATCAGGCGATGAGTGGCGGGTGAGTGCGAGGGGCGGAGCGGAGTGGGCGATACCGAGTGGGCGAATGATGAGTGATGGGGTGGCGATGAGTGGGCGAGCCGGCGAGTGGTTGAGTGGTTGAGTATGCGATGAGCGACACAGATCCAACGTGAATGCAACGATCATGGCATAAGTACTGACGTTGGAGCGTCCCGACTGGCGCGGCGGCGATGAGGACCGCGCGCGACGCGGCGCGAGGAGGGCGATCCATGCGCGAGCGATCCCAAGACGTCGAGGCGACGACGGAGACGCAGCAGGTCATGAGCCGACAGCGACCAGAGGGCCAATAAGAAGGAAGCCGATAAATGTTGAAGGATCATTTTGGCAACACTTTCAGGGCGATCTGGGGAATTTGTGGAAAGGCGATCTTAGGTCAAGATGCAGTGAGGAGGTGGTGACAGGGTGAGGGAATGAAGGGGCGAGAGAGGGCGATGAATGATGAAGACGGGCCGAGGAGGCGGCCCGATGTGGAGGGAAAAGGATGATCTGGGGAAGGACCGACCTGATGATGTGATGGAAGGGGTGATGATGGAGCCGAACCAGTGAAATGATGATGTGAGTGATTGATGAGTGAGTGAGTGGGTGATCAGGCGGTTGATGGTTGAGTGGGTGAGTGTGTGTCGATGGGTGAGTGTCAAGGGGTGAGCGGTTGATACCGAGTGGGCGAGTGCGGTGAGTGGGTGGGTGGTTGATGGGCGAGTGGTCGATGGGCGGGGGTTGATGATGAGTGGGTGATTTGAGTGGGTGCGGAGTGGGCGGTCGATGGTCGATGGCCGAGTGGGTTGAGTGGATGAGTGGGCGGTTTGAGTGAGTGGGTGGTTGAGTGAGTATGTGAGAGAGTGGGTGGGTGGGTGAGTGAGTGGGTGAGTATGTGAGTGGTTGAGTGGGTGGGTGAGTGAGTGAGTGGGTGAGTGAAGGCACGATTATGGTGAGAAGTACTTGACGTTGGCGAGTGCCTTGACGCGTGCGGCGGCGAGGAGGGACTGCGCGGCGATGCGGTGGCTTGCGGGTGATCGCAGGTGGGAGCGTATCCTGAGGACGTCGAGGCGGACGACGGCGATGTGCAGCAGGTACAGGAGCGAGAGCGACCAGAGGGCTAATAAGAGGTAGGAGAATTTCTTTCTAATTTCCCACAGGAATTTAGGTATGTATTCATGTACCAATCGAGCGAGGAGTGAGCTGTCTGAACATACTCTTTGCAATGCTTGGCAGAAATCTTGACACGTGCGTTGCTTCTTTTCTCCATTTCCACCGTACAGTTGATGAGGGCTTCCAAATGTGAAGCCATATGTGAACAGCGTTGGATGAGTAGCGGGGCATTTTACAATTGAATGACAGTCATCAGAGTGCTTCAGATTTTTAAGTTGCTTGATGTCTTCTCCATCAGTATACTTTACTGTGCAGTCCTTACCACATTTCTTACCACGGCAGTTGACGCCGTGCTTATTGCATTTATTACAACACTGTTCACATAGTTGTTTAAGTAAGTCATAAAATGTCTCCGTTATATATACAACCCAAGACAGATAGTTGCCGGCACGCTCCTTAGAATATACCGACCTGATGTCTTCGCTGATTGACCCTAAATACGGTCCACAGGGTATGCCGGAATCTTTCTTAGAATCACATGATATGAGGCTGAACAGGTCACCTTGGGAATGTTGGTCGGAATGATTCTTGCTGCCTTGTATGGACACAACAACTAATTTTGTTTCGACATTTCCGAAGTTGGCGTCGCTCACGGCTTTATCAAATGCAACGCTCTTATGGTCTTTCCTAGTGCCCTCCCAGGCGGAAAGGTAATAATGGTAGAACGCTAACATGTCACCCAGGGTTTGAGGTGCGCGTCGAAGTAGGCAGCATAGCATACTACAAATCCTGGTGAGGGGAGACTCAGGCCTACCGCAGAGACGGTAAAGTGCGCTAAAAAGATGCTTGCCGGTTCGCGTACGCGAAGCAGCAATACCAATGTCAGCAAAACCCATGGGAGTGAGGCATGGTTTACCAAAGTGATTACCAAGGGAACACTTCACTCCGCATCCAACTTTAGTGAGTCGATGCGGCAGGAAGCCAGGGAGACCATCTTCGAGGAACGATTGAAGTGGTGATTTAATACCGCACTCGTAATGTTGGTTTACCTTTTGGTCAGCGTTGTGGTTACATGTTTGGTTGTGCTTTTGGTCACAGTCTTGGTCGGGACATTGGATAGAGTTGCAGGTCCACGATGAACCACCGATGTACCTGCCGTAATGGCACTCTTCCCATCCGCCCCGACTACGGCCATTCTGACACTGAGCATATAAGAAACGGAGTTGATTGTAAATTCTGTTCAATACATCTACAAGTGTATCAAAGCACTGTGCTGGACTACTAGGATACGATAAATTATCTGTGTTTGTATTGAACTCGACAGCGTACCGGCCATCGGGATGACCATGGCCAAGGATTGTTTTAAGTGTGCTTCTGGATCTCGAGCAAACTTTGCTAAGTACATCGGTCAAGTCGTCATACCTAATTTCGGTGGTTGCGGCAAGAGTTAATTGGCTAGTGGGAATGTCGGAATATGGTTTATCTTTGAGTTCTTTAGGCTTAGGGAACAATGTCTTAATGTGGTTCTTAACTCCGTCGTACACGTGATTGTACTTTAGTCCGGTGACCCACTGGAGCATCTCGTATACTGTCGTCGGTGGCCGTGTTTTCTGAGGGATGTAGTGAGACACCTTGTAATATCTAACAAGGTGTTCGATAAGGTAGTCAACAATGTCGATGACGTTAATGCTAATATCCTTGACCGGGGGCTTAACTTTCTGCTTCGCATTCTGTTCTTCCTTCCATTTCATGAGGCCTGGAATGCTCTTTGCGCCGGTTATTTCTTGCGTAATCCTAGTATGTATATGTGAACCCTGCATCTGATCAGACCTTCGTAATTCACCGTCCTGCTTGTTCTCCCCGGTGGCAACTTTGTAACCGCTTCTTTTGAAAAACTCGCCGAGTTTATTGCCATTGGCTAAATTAATTTGTTTGGTGCTATGCATATTAGATCCTTTCTGCAGCCCATCCAACTCATAAACCAGGGAGTCCAGTATGGTCAGGCAGACCTTGGCGCAGTTGCGGCCCTCGGTGGAAAGGACTTGTGAGGTCGTGGAGTCTGCCTTTTTAGTTTCCACCCACTCCTCTGTAGGCTTAGAACCGCTATACTTATTCACGTACGCGTGGGAGAGTTGCTCGGTGAATTGCGTCATGCCGGCCTTGAGGGCGTCGAGGAGCAGCGGGTTGTGGAAGCCGTGGAAGTTGGAGGGGGAGAGGGCGGAGATGGATTCATTCAATTCGGTAAGGTATTTGGTGGAATTGTGGTCAAAAATATACTTTCTATCGGGATCATGATATTTGAGATAGTTCAGTAATTTGTCCAGTCTGGTGTTAATACTCGACACCATCTGGGACTCCTTGGTAGGGGATCTATGATCCCCTTCGAACTTAACTTGGAGTTCAGTATACGCCAGTAAATTATCGAGATATGATTTGAGTTGGTCGGAGAAACCTGAAAGCTCTTGTTTTGTCGGCGCCTTTTTTGGAGTTGTTGCAGGCACAGCCCCTTTGAGCTTAGTAAGCAGAGTCTCACTGGTGGACTCATTAAATTGAGGCATACCTTCTTTATTTATACCAAACAGCATACCATTTACGCTTTTTAATAGGCCTTTTATTCCGGTCACTTTATCTTCATCAATTATTTTCCTCACCTCCGCCAATTTTCGCTCAACCAGCGTATGCAGCGCCGACAGGTCCGCGATATGCTGCTCGGCGAAGAGAGCGCGGATTTGTTTAGTTATCTCGTTCTCAGCTTCTTTAACTTTATCGATAACGGTATTTATGGAGATGGTTAAAGCATCGTTTGCTATTCCAACATTAGCATTAATGTGATTAAGATGGGTTTCGATACACTCTTTCAACTCATTCATTTTAGCCTCCGATTTTTCCCTCTTCATGAGAATGTCGCCATCATCGGCCGGTTTTGACATGTTATTGAGCTGAGTAAGTTGCTCTCCGATTGCATCGAGCTTCTTGAAAATTGTGCCTTTCTCGGCACTGTTATCCACTAGCAAGGGATTCAACTCATCAATTTTCTGGCTAACGCCATTCAGCGCTTGTTGAATCTTGTCGCCGAAGCTGTTATCATCCTTGCCAAATTGCTTGCCGATTTGGGTGGCACTATTACCTATCTGCGTGAGAAAGTCGATGTGGGATTGTTGAAAGAAGGAGTGGAGTTGTTCAGCAAAGTTTTTGACCGATACGGCGACGGAAGATAGAATGTGCTTAATGGCTTGTTGGAGATAATTGCTGGCGGTCTTTTTAGAGTCCAATCCTAACTGCATCTCAATTCCCTCTACTTCGAGGTTAACTGTATCTTCATCACCAGTAAGCTCACTTTCAACGATTATAGCAAAAGAGCTGAACTTTTCAGCAATGTTTTTCACTTCAGCGGTTTCAAATTCGGCTTGCAACACTACAGGTTGAATAAGGCTGTCAATAAAATCCGGAAGGTGTTCTTTAAGCGCTTTCTTCACAGCTTCATTTGAATTCGTTTCACCCTTATATGTCGGATTAAAACGATCGTTCAACGATACTTTGTTAATGCTAACATACTTCTTCAACCTGTCCTTCACAATTTCATCCTTATCCACAATTTCCTGCACCCACTGCGTCACAAACTTATTGACATTCTCTTCGTTGCCGAATGTTTTCGCATAATTAATTATGCCATCCTTTATCTGGTTCAGACCGTTCATATTTTGAACTAAACCTGAATTTCCTTCCCCCTTAATAATACTAACATAATCCTTAACTTTCTCTTTAAGCTGCATCCATTTGGTATTCAAATCATCGCCACCAGGCTTCTTTTTTCCGTAATCGCCAACGTATCCTTTCAACAAATCAAACTCCCTCCGAGTAGTCTCCACCAACGCCCCAAGCTCTACTTTATGGCTCGATAAAATGCCATACAGTTCATCTAGCTTGTGTTTTATGGCGTCGAAATGGAACATAATATCGCCTTTACACTCCTCGTTCAACTTCAACAAAATTTGTTTTGCAGCACTCACCGTTCTTTTAATGCGTTCAAACTGCTCATCCTTTTGCTCTCTTAACTGACCAATTTTCTTACCAATCTCACTGAACTGCATGAAAATTGTCTCATCCACCTCCCTCACCTGCTTCTCCAACTCCTTGCTCTCCGCCGACCCCTTCAGCACCTGCACAGCGCTTTTCACGGCATCTATCTTATGCATCAATTTATCACGCAACACAGGATCTAGCTGACTAATATTATTAGAGTGAAGGCTAGTTAAGTCTGCATCTATCTGACTAAGTGTCTGGGTCCATGACCTCAGCTGGTCGGCTAGTGGCTTGTCTCGTTGCCTTGAAACATCTTCGACATATTTACCTGAAGAAGAATGTAATTCAACAAGTAACTTACCTAATTCAAATGATACTCCTGTAGTCAATGTGTCCACCTGCTCACCATGTTTTTTCAACCACTCACTTACCTGAGTCACGGCCTTCCCGAAGGCCTGACGGCCTTTACCTACACTATTGTTAAGAGTCTCAATAACTGAAGTAATATTATTTTGTGAATCATTATCATATGTTGCAACGTTATCATCCTCCTTAACACTCTCAAGAACTCCATGAAGGAAAGACATCACCGCGTTGCACAGCCTGTCGAGGTCCGAGTACACAATCCCTTCTCCGGTGTAATTCCCTTTCTCGTAGCCGAGAAAATTTTCGAGGCCTGTGCAGAGATTATTTAATAATGTTATTGAAGGATTATTTTAGGCACATTTTAGGGCGATTTGGGGGAATTTGGAGAAAGGCGATTTTAGGTCAAGGAGGCAGCGAGGGAGGTGAGTGGACAGGGTGAGGGAAGTGAAGGGGCGAAAGAGGGCGACGAAGGGGGAAGATGGGTTGGGAGAAGGCGGTTTCGGAGGTGGAGGGGAAAGGCGGAAAATGAGTGTTTGGGTGAAGGACGCCGACGGAGGAGGTGATGGAGGGGGTGATGGAGAGGGAGCGAAGCGACCAGTGAAAGAGGTGAGTGGTTGAGTGAGTGGGTGATTAGGTGATTAGGTGGTGAGTGAGTGGGTGATTAGGTGAGTGGTTGAGTGGGTGGTTGAGTGGTTGAGTGAGTGGTTGAGTGAGTGGGTGAGTGGGTGGGTGGTTGAGTGGGTGATTAGGTGGGTGAGTGGGTGAGTGGGTGGGTGATACACAGATCACACGTGAAGGCACGACTATGGTGAGAAGTACTTGACGTTGGCGAGTGCCTTGACACGTGCGGCGGCGAGGAGGGACTGTGCGGCGATGCGGTGGCTTGAGGGCGATCTCAGGTGGGAGCGTATCCTCAGGACGTCGAGGCGGACGACGGTGATGTGCAGCAGGTAGAGGAGCGACAGCGACCAGAGGGCTAATAATGTATTCATGAATGGTGATCTGATGCAGTATATGAATTCGTCGCACTCTTTAAATAGGTTCCTGAAATGGTCGCCGTGTAGAATTGTCGACAAGATTGTCTGGAAATTGTAGCATCTCTTTACATGTGCATTTTTGTTCAATCTTGATGCTGAACCAAATGTGAATCCATTGCTATACAGTGTAGGCGATACGCCTCTGCAGCCAACAATCGATGAGCACTTACAGGATGTTGCCGTTTTACCATGCTCACCGCGTCGACATTTATCGGCCTGTTGACACCCATTACATGCCCAATCCTGACAAGCGATATCACAGAAGGAAACGTATAGATTGTTGAGTAAGTCCCAAAATGTCCAAGGTAAATACAATGCCCAGGATAGGTAAAGGTTGGCGTGTTTCTTGGCCAGATAGTTGTAGGCGTCGGTGGACAACGCATATAGGTAGGGAGCACAGTCTATCTTTCTGGCTTTCCCTTTACAGCAGTCAGTGGTTGTAAGGCCCCTAAGGTGTGGATTTTGACATTCCGAGTGAGTAGCGGAGGAAGATCCGTAAGCTGCGGTGAGAGCATCGGTGAGTTGAGACGGATCGACATATAACTGGATGGACTGATCAGTAATGGATGCTACGACATCTGACTGCAATGACCCTTTGTTTTCGTCTGGTTGACCATTACGCCAACCACTAACTATGGACAAGGCAAATCCTAAGTGCTCCGGTAGTGTAGTCGGAGGTTTAGGGGCCAGACAGAATAAGGCTGTAAGATAGAAATCGTCGAAGAAGTTTCTAAGCACTTTACATAGTTCGTTACCATGCTTCGGACTGCCCGAGAAACCGCGGAAGCCGAGGGGCGTGAGACAGTGCATTCCTCGTTTACTACCAGGGCACGTTAAACATTTGGGAGTGCAACCGACAGACTGCAATTGATGAGGTAAATAACCATGCAAGGAGTCAGTTAGGTAGGACTGAAGCGGGGACGTTGGTCGGCAGTTTGCTTGGCAGTTTGCCTGGCACCTAGGTTGGTCAGTTGGTTGGTCACTTGCTTTGTCAGTTAAGTGGTCATTACATTGCCAGTTTGATATTTCGACAGCTTGGCCGTAGAGGCAGTCAGCCCATCCGTAATGATCAGGCCGACGATTGCACTGGGTATGCAAAACCTCAGTGGCGGGAACAATTTTTAAGGATGTCAATGAGTAAATCTAAGCATTCTGAACCGCTAGAGGGATATTTAAATGTAAAGGAGTTGTTGAAGTAGTCACAGGAGTAGGTGGTAGAAGCGTTGCCGTGGCCTACTATACTGGTTAGGACGGAAGCGGATTGCAATGTGATATGTTCGATGACATTTTCCAGATGTTGAGCGCCGAATGCTCTTGGGAACGCATCCGTGTAAGGTAACTCATTACCAGATTGCGCATCCTTCGTCTTGACTGCTGTTTTATGTGCTGCTTAAGCGCATCGTACGCACCGTTATGGCGTAAACCGGAGCACCATGCGAGCATTTCGTAGACTGAACATGGTAGCTTATTAGCGGAGAATGTGGAGATGTGACCGACTTGGTAGTAGGCAGGAGAGAGTCGACAATCGTATTAATCGCATGCCTAGTGTTTTCAACAGAAGGGAAAACACGAGGATAATCACCGACAAGGCATCCGACGACTTTTGTTCCGTTCATCCCTTCTTTGTTTTGCAACTCGCCGTTCTGTTTATTATTGTCGGACACTACGAAACCATTATCGGAGAAGAATGTCCCAAGCTCCGTGAATTCATTAATTTGATCACCTCTCCAATCCACCTTGCACCTCTTTCTCAACTCACTCAAATTTGTGTTCAGGATGGAAAACACGCTGAGAAAAATTTTAGCAGTCATTTTACTCTCCTCCGTTGGATTATTCGAAAAATGCTCCTGCCACGTAATCGGCTTAGACCCCTCATACCTATTCACGTACCCCCTCTGCAGCTGCTCGACGAAGCGCACCAGGCTCTTGGGGAAAGCGTCGAGCACGGGGTACGCGGGATTGGCGAAGTTTGTGGAGTGGAGTGCTTGGACGGATGTCTTGAGTTCCGCGAGCATTCCGGGGACCTGGTGGGTGAAGTGTTTTTGCTCGGACAGGTGGGAGAGGAGGGTGGTCAGAGCGGAGTGGATGGACTGGAGTTGGGGGGAGTATTGGGAGTTGGGGAGATGTTTGGGGAGGTCGAAAAGAGTGAAATTGAAAATAGGCTCCAAATAGGCTCTAAAAATGGATGCGCGATTTTCAAATTTATGTTTCGTTGCCATGTCTTGCAGCCTCTCATGATTTTCTTTCAGAGTCTTGAGGAGGCCTTTGAGGCCGGTGTTCAAATCGTCGTCGATTATCGTTTTCACTTTGGGAATTTTGGTGTCAACCAACGATATCAAGGCAGTCAGGTGGGATTTGTGTCCTTCGGCAAAAAGCTTCTGGACTTCATCAGTCACCCTTTTGAAGGCGTATTCGGTGGTTTCGAGAAGCGTTTTGTTGAGTTGTTGTACGGTGAGCTTGATATCCTCTTCAGCCTTAACCGCAGCGCTATAGACAGAATCAATGGTCTTGGTCAACGCATCGTCTGCAGAAGTGAGATTTAATTCGAACTCGATAAGCTTGTTTTGAATTTCATTTTTCAAACTGTTCATAAGCTCATCGGCCTTAGTCTTCCTACTTTCAATGCTATTTGTCTCGTCTTTCACATTCTGCAGCTTATCAAGCTTATCAAGAACATCTGTCTTAATATCTCCAATACCCTTGCGAATTGACTCATCGCCACTTTCATTAACTAAATATCTATCAAGTGATTTAATCTTACTCTGAACGGTTAACAATGCGTCATCAATTTTTTGCCGACGCCATTGTTGTACTCTGACGCCTTCTTGCTGTCAATTTGCTGCTTAATTTTATCGACCTCTGCTATAGCCGCTTTTAGTTTAATACCGAGGTCATACTTGCTGATGGTGTCAGAGGTGAAAGATTTTAGTTCCTCGCCAACTTGCAGAGCCGCACAGTGGACGGCGGTCAGAATTGCTTTCACTGCGGGTTCGAGTTCCGTTTGGCTGTTAGGGAGTGGACGGCCACGCAGAGTCTGCTGGAACTGCAAATGCACGTACTCCACCATCTCACCAGGTTTATCTGGATCAACTTTTTTGGCGAACTCACTGAAAACTTCTGGATATTTCGGAGATGATCTTCAACGGTTTCATTAAATGTGGGTGACGTCGTGACGTGACCTGCCATTGTTTTTATCCATGCAGTTACTATGAATTTTAGCTTTTCTACCGCAACCACATTATTCCTGAGACTACTCCCAATATAGGTTGCAACTAATCCCTTAACCGGCTCCTTGTCGAAGATTCCATTTAACCACCCTGCAACGATTTGGGTCCCAAACATCCCATGTTTATTGAACTTCTTAGCATACCCTTCGATTGCCTTTACGATGGCGTCAAGGTGGCCGGATGTTTGGTTGTCGTTGACGATTTGACCGACATCCCATGCTATTTGGCTTTTTAGCGCTGCCCAATTATGTTGTATGCTGGGATCATCTGTACTTTTGACACACTCTCCTGTGTATTTGTTTTCAAAATTAAAAATTCCTCTTGAGCTTGTGTAACTAGATGCACAAGTTGCAGTCTCTTGGTGGTTAATGCATCGTAGGCATCATTGACTTTATTTTGTATTTCGTTGAAATGGCTCCAAATTTTGTTTCTGTAGTCGTTGTTATATTTTTCATCAACGAACCGTTGAAATTTCTTCAATGTACTCTCCATAATATGGAAATGCCATTTTTTACTCTGCCTAAGACCACGAATGTGTTCCAGAACATTATCAAATTTATCTTTTAATTTTGTCTGAAGTACGCAACACTGCTCGTTTGTGTTATTTAGAATCAATGTTCTCTGCGCCAGCAAGTGCTCATCGACACGCCTCACCTGCGTCTCCATCTGCCCATCGAAGGCGACACTTCTCATATGCTCTACCACACTTTTCACAGGCATGAATTCATGCAATACACTACTTTTAAGTGAAATATCTAACACATTAATGTTATCAGTTAGAATATTATTGACCTCAGTTTCGAGGCTTTCGACCGTCGACCGCCAAGCAGTCAACTGGTCGGTGAGTGAAGCACTAATCTTCTCATTTACTTGTGTGACATATTTATTACCTAAGTGATCACTAAGTTCGCTAAGTGATTTATTTACATTTTTGTGCGCTTATTAAGTTCATCATCATAGTCATGAAGCACACGATTCACATCTATGCAAACACGAAACCATAATCACCACGATGCATATGTTCTAAAATTTTATTAAGGTCTTTTGTGATATAAAGCTATATGTGGAAACGCTTGGATCATCCTTAACACTCTCAAGAACTCCATGAAGGAAAGACATCACCCCGTCGCACAGCCTGTCAAGGTCCGAGTACACGATGCCAGTGCCATCGTAGCCTTTGGAAGTTTCATTGTACCCTAAAAATGTTTGGAGACCTGTACACAATTTATCTAAAATGTTTTCACATTCTCCACTTTGAGGAGTTTGAACACTCTGATGAAATGTAATAAGCATTCCAAGACTTTCAAGAGACTCCAACGAAGCCTCATGAGACATCAATTTAGCCTGCTCAGTTTCAAGAGAATTGGAAAGATGATAGGGAATGGAGACATATTTTTTTGCTTTTTCAGCATCATATCCCTGTTTTTGAAAATCATCAATTTGCCTTTTACGCTCTGCTTCAATTTGCCTATCAAGCTCAGCAACACTCTTTTGACGGTTGGAGATCTCAGACTCAATTTTGCTTTTAGGCACACTTAAAGCATTTTTAAGCGCATTAATTTGCCTTTCACGGCTCTCCTTTTGCTTTTCAAGTTCCTGATTTTTTTGCTCAATTAGCCTTTCAAGCTCAGCAATCTCAGGACCACTGACGGACGGCGTCTTACAGACGCCTTCCTTCATCGTTTTGCTTATTAAGCTTCTTAATTTCTCTCTCAATTTCATCATATTTTTCAAATGTATTTTGAAGATTTTTAAGAGGTCCAACACGGAAATTCACAGCATCATTACAACACCCCTCTCCTCCGCAAGATGTTTTTAAAAGCTTTTCAAGCTGGTTTACATTACTGTGCAAACCATTCAACAATGCATTTTGAACTTCATCTCCACCGCCAATAAAACCCGAAAGCTGTCCAGCAAGCGTACCAAGAGAGATACGGCGGGCATCAATATCATCCAAGGCTTTTCCCCTGGCGTCCTCAGTAAGGTAATGAACGTCATTGTAGTGATCATTATACTGATTGAAGGTGGATTAAGGAGAGT